ACTTTTTACATAATAATCTTTCCGAGTTTTTCCGCATTCTGCCTATGGAAACCGTGACAACTAAGATAAAAAAGTGCACCCAATCAAGTGTTTAAAAACTGGTGAGATAAGTCTGGCTGATTATTCCGTGATCCCATATGTAAGGGATGTGAATAGCAAAGCAAAATGCAAAGCTTGTGACTGCCTAATTCTGATATCTATATATTTATTCATTTTGCATAAGCATTGGTCTTTTTTAACTAATTCCAGTACATCTATGCCAAAAGGCAGCCAAACCAGTTCCTAGAAGTACTTATTTATGGAAAATTTCTTAGATCAACACAGAAAATTCGGAAATGAGGGTAGCTTTCTGATTTGGTAGTTTGCATTTGTTGCTGCCACAGTGTGGCTACTCTTATGAACGAATTTTTATACTTCTGTCTAAAGCTTTAAACCTTCTAATTGATGAGCATACATGTATATATTTGCATGAGCCTCGGTTAATGGTTTTAGAGCTCTGATTTAATGCAATTCAAGTCATTTTTTCAGCTACTGCCTAACATATGGCACGCAAATACCTCGACAGACAGCGCATCACAGATTTCGATGACTACCTGGAGCAACTGGCATAAGTTACTCTAAACGTACATTTTTTTTTCAGATAAAAACAATATTTTCTCTTAACAAACAGTTCAGGCAACTTAACCACCTGAAGACCATTTAGTACAGCCACGGATTGTAGCATTGCGAAGTTAATTTCACTCGACTATTTTCGCTGATCCATCTGATGACATCGACTATTCCCATTCGAGGTGTTCACCTAAAGCGAGTTTCATCATAAAAGTGTCCAATTTGTGTGAAAAGCGATTTGCTACCAGGCTCACAGAAACGCGAGGTGATATAGAGAAACTACTCTGCTCATGTATCAATGATGCTGGCGGGAACACCTCTCGTCGTGTCTACGATCCTACTACAAAATCTTGAAAGGTTCGAAATTCGCACATTCTGTAGTGATACTTTCACCGTAGAAGTGGCGAATTTGAATGAGAAGCAATTTGGTATCAGGGTCACAGAAACACGAGGAGGTATGGCAAAAGTACTTTACTCTGGATGTTGATGATACTGGAGGAAAGACATCTCATCTTTTCTGTGATCCTGATACAAAATCTTGAAAAGCTCATATCCGCACATCCAGTCATCAGAGAAGTGTCAAAGTTATGTGAGAAGCAAATTGCTATTAGGGTTGCAGAAACGCGATGAGGTATAGAAAAATACGTGAGTACTAATATGAATGATTCTGGCAGGAACACCTCTCTTCGTTTCTGCGATCCTGATACAAAATCTTCAAAGTTTGAAATTCGCGCATTCTGTAGTGAAGCTTTCATCGTTGAAGTGCCGAATTTGAGTAAGAATCAATTTGGTGTCAGGGTCATAGAAACACGAGGAGGTATGGCAAAAGTACTTTACTCTGGATGTTTATGATACTGGAGGAAACACATCTCGTCGTTTCTGTGGTCCTGATACAAAATCTTGAAAAGCTCATAACCGCACATCCAATTATGAGAGAAGTGTCAAATTAATGTGAGAAGCAAATTGCTATCAGGGTTGCAGAAACGCGGGGAGGTATAGATAAAATGCGCTAGTACTAATATGAATGATGACCTCTCGTCGTTTATGTGAAAGTTCGAAATTCGCATATTCTGTTGTGAAACCCTGATATCGGGGTCACAAAGAGAACGGGTATGGAAAAGGCACTTTGCCCTTGATGTAGATAGTCCTGCATGGAATATCTATTGATGTTTCTGTGATCCTAATGCAAAATCTTGAAACGTATAAATCGGCACGTCCAGTAGACATCAGGCTTTTATCGTAGAAGTTTCGAATTTGTGTGAGAACCAATTTGCTATCAGGGTTGCAGAAAGGCGAGGTGGTATGATAAAAGTACTGGGCTCCTGACATCAATGATGCTGGCGGAAACGCCTCTCATCGTTTCTGCTATCCTGATACAAAGTCTCTGTAAGTCTAAATCCGCATCTCCAGTGACCTTACTCGTAGGGTTGTGGAATTTGTATGAGAAGCAATTCGCTACCGGGGTAACAGAAACTTAATAAGGTATCGAAAAAGTGTTCTCCTCATATCTATGATCATGAACAGCGCTACCTATTGTCATTTCTGGGATCCTGATACAGAATATTAAAAAGATTGGATACGCACGTACAATCATCAGACTCGTGGTAGAAGCTAATGTTGTATCATTTTGCTATAAAGGTTGCAGAAACTGCTCCTGATATTAATGCTGCTATCAGGTACACCTCCCCTTGCTTTTGTGGTCCTAATACAGAACCTTGAAAAGATTAAATTTGCGCAACCAGTATTCAGACTTTCACCGTACAACCTGATACAAAGTCTTGAAAAGTTTGAATCCACACGTCAAGTTTTCTGACTCATCGTGAAAATATCAAGTTTGTGTGAGAGCAATTTGCTATTAGGGTTGCAGAAACGGGACGAGCTTCATGTAAAGTGTTTTGGTCTGATCTCAGTGATACTGGCAGGGCATCTCTCGTCGCTTCTATGATCCTAATACAAAGAAAGCTTCAAGGAGCATGATCAGGGATACGGCGATCAATTTAATTAAAACAATTTGTGTGTTCATTATAAAAATTTATTGAAATATTTTACAAGAATGAAATAGATAATACATTCATGGTTCCTGACTTTCCATCAATACATACATAACTAAATAGATACATGAAGACATTATGAATTTAGGTGTGTGTTAAGCTAAATATTTTTAAATATTGGGCAAGTTTTCATGCATCTATCGAAACACAGAGGATAATGTAAGAATATATTCATTTTGCAAAAAGAGTTATTTTGTTTTACCAATGGAAGAACAATAAGTACAAGAAAATATTACGTGGTACACAACATAGTACTTTATCATATTTCACGTTTACTATTTGTAGCATGCTGCAGGTAAAAAAGTATTTCGTCATTTGAACTGTTATTAAACATGTATTCTTTTGTGATAATATTAGGGTACTTGTTCAATTACAGTTCATCATCTGGTACCTAAATTATAGGTATACACATATTTTTGCATCCATATTCTGCCAAACCTGTTCCTAGTTTTTCCATATCATTAAATGTTTTATCGCAGAGTTAACTTCGTCTTTAGATATGATGCAGACACACTATGGAGAGACGTCCCCTGAATGACCCGGGAAACGTTTTCATGGTATTAAAGAATGTAGTTCCCAGTAGATTTCCAATTATTGCACAGAAAGGAAACGCAGCTGTTATCAATTCTCCCACATGACATTCTGCTATCCCGATTTATCTCGGATAATTTTTGTATGCGGCAATATAGCGTTGATCTGGCTATCTTCAGGTGGAATATGTCAATCAGTGCTGTAGTCCCCCCTGTAGCGATATCTAAGTTGCTTTCGCAGTTTCCTATTTTTTCTCTCAAGTCCAGGTATCTCTTTGTGCCTTACTTCCTGAATAATGTTGAAAAATAATCAGTATTACAGCAGGACCAAATAGCGCCATACCAAAACTATTCAGTTGTAGAGTTGGCATACGCGAATATTCATAAAAAAATAACATAGCAGCTTAGAGAGTGCGGAATGTATCATCCACAGCCTATAAAATCCTTATACCTGCTTTCGATAAAACAAATAAACAGTATTTACATAACGTTATTTTTTGTTGCAATGTTTTGCCAGTGGCGTTGTACAGTCTCTCAGGAGACAAAAAACTGTATTTTTAGCTCGTAACATTGAAAAAATGAAAAAGGTCAGTGGCGCCCAATTTTTTTTGTCAAAGATATTGGTTAGAGTAACTCTTTAAAACACTTCAAATAATATAAATAATAAGCAACGCTTTAAGTAAGTTATGTCAAAGACAGATTTACGTTAGGTATGCGATTATTATATGTTATTTTGTTTTATCGAAATTAGTTTTAAATATGTGCGAAAAAATTCAAGAGATGACTTTCATCTAATGTTAGTCTGGTGTTTTCAATGTATTTATTATGTTATTGTCGCAGAGACATGCAATAAAGGTCTTTTTATTTTTTATCTCGCAAACGAGACGTCGATGAAAAAATTTGGCAGACAAAAAAGTTGTATTTTAGCTGCTTAATTCGAAAAAAATAGAAAAATTAAAAAAAGTGGTGCACAAATTTTTTGTCCAAGATATTGGTTATGGTGTTTTTCGGGACCCCACTGGACTTGATAATTTTAAACTAATTGGGGCTAAATTAGTCCCTTACTGTCCTTAATACCACTGCTAAATTTGAACAAAATCGACTGAAAGTTACCAAGATATTTAGGGAACACTATTTTTTTAAGTTTGACACCTTGTATCTTAAAAATGAAGCATTTCTAGACCTATGTTTATGTAAACTTTTCATCTTAAAATTACTCAAAAAATCATCTCCTACAGTTTGTCTACGTACTTAAATATCACCCTGTATTTTAGAGCAAAACACATAACGGACGAGTTATTTATATGTTGTCCTTTCTGTAGACAGGTTATATTCAAAGTTATAAATTACGATACTTCCTGTCTCTTTTTGTGTTTTCAAAAACTTTGATTATTGGAAAACGCCACCGCGCCCATGTGGTGTGCAATTAAGCCACGTCACAGTAAAATTAGGAATGACGCATTACACTTCAAACATTTTCGCAGTGTCTCACATCTAAAGGCTGATTTATATTTTCTATTGACATCGCAAAATAAATTTCTAGACTGGAAGTGAAAAATAATGTAATAACCCTTTCACTTTCATAAATATTCCTGTCTGTAGCATATTTTCTCACCTGTTACTTCACCAACCAGGAATTTTCTTTTCTTATCTCTCTCATTTTTGAAATTCACCAAATTTGCGTATGTAATTTCCACAATGATGTGACTGGTCTCATTCACAAGGAAACTATTAAGATAACTCCTGAATTAATTGTCATTGTTCTTGAAAAGGGTCAGGCAATGGAGTTCGAAAAACAATAACGGTTATTATGAAATTGTTTTTATTGAAATGAATATTCTGAATACAATGTATCTCTGTGAAAAACTAAAAACCAAACAACATGTCACTTCTTCGAGGTATCCTCTAACAAATAAATCCTCTTGTTACCAGTATCTTCTCACTCTCCCACCACATCAGCAAAGAAAATATCAGGAGAAAACGTCAAACTGCTATCTTCTTTCTGATCGGTACTCGCGGTAGAAGGAATGTTTCCTTTATCATCCATCATCTGGATTTCAACCTTGCAATCATCTGGCTCCTTCTCAGCGTAAGCATTCAAAAGCAAGTTTTCGATTGAATAGCTCTCATTTACTATGGATGAAATTTTGAAAGGACTTTTCAACTCTTTAGATTCCAGTGAAAGTATCCCTACGTTTTTCGGATCGATCAAAGCACCAGCGTTATCCATTACTTTACATGGTTCAATGGTGAAATCTGCCGAGTCTATTTCAGCATTGCCGAATAGATCAAACGTTTCCGGAATAAGCGGGGTATTTTCTTCCGCCGTATTGATCTTATCCTTAGTAAGGTGCAATTCCTGAACCTCGCCTAATTTTCCTTCTTCATCTATCACTTGATATTGCAGACCATCCTTCTGAAGGTTCTGGAGCACTTCGTCAGTGACAGTGACGAAGTTTCCATCACTGGTCTTGAACATTATCTCCACATTAGAGTTGGCTTCGTTTCCCAATAGATCCTTTAGCTTATCAGCAGTAAGTTCTTCGGAGCTATTGGGTATAGACAACTGAATGACATTGTCTGCCACTTTTGGGTCAGTGGGCAAAAACACAGCAGCTTAGAGAGTGCGGAATGTATCATCCACAGCCTATAAAATCCTTATACCTGCTTTCGATAAAACAAATAAACAGTATTTACATAACGTTATTTTTTGTTGCAATGTTTTGCCAGTGGCGTTGTACAGTCTCTCAGGAGACAAAAAACTGTATTTTTAGCTCGTAACATTGAAAAAATGAAAAAGGTCAGTGGCGCCCAATTTTTTTTGTCAAAGATATTGGTTAGAGTAACTCTTTAAAACACTTCAAATAATATAAATAATAAGCAACGCTTTAAGTAAGTTATGTCAAAGACAGATTTACGTTAGGTATGCGATTATTATATGTTATTTTGTTTTATCGAAATTAGTTTTAAATATGTGCGAAAAAATTCAAGAGATGACTTTCATCTAATGTTAGTCTGGTGTTTTCAATGTATTTATTATGTTATTGTCGCAGAGACATGCAATAAAGGTCTTTTTATTTTTTATCTCGCAAACGAGACGTCGATGAAAAAATTTGGCAGACAAAAAAGTTGTATTTTAGCTGCTTAATTCGAAAAAAATAGAAAAATTAAAAAAAGTGGTGCACAAATTTTTTGTCCAAGATATTGGTTATGGTGTTTTTCGGGACCCCACTGGACTTGATAATTTTAAACTAATTGGGGCTAAATTAGTCCCTTACTGTCCTTAATACCACTGCTAAATTTGAACAAAATCGACTGAAAGTTACCAAGATATTTAGGGAACACTATTTTTTTAAGTTTGACACCTTGTATCTTAAAAATGAAGCATTTCTAGACCTATGTTTATGTAAACTTTTCATCTTAAAATTACTCAAAAAATCATCTCCTACAGTTTGTCTACGTACTTAAATATCACCCTGTATTTTAGAGCAAAACACATAACGGACGAGTTATTTATATGTTGTCCTTTCTGTAGACAGGTTATATTCAAAGTTATAAATTACGATACTTCCTGTCTCTTTTTGTGTTTTCAAAAACTTTGATCATTGGAAAACGCCACCGCGCCCATGTGGTGTGCAATTAAGCCACGTCACAGTAAAATTAGGAATGACGCATTACACTTCAAACATTTTCGCAGTGTCTCACATCTAAAGGCTGATTTATATTTTCTATTGACATCGCAAAATAAATTTCTAGACTGGAAGTGAAAAATAATGTAATAACCCTTTCACTTTCATAAATATTCCTGTCTGTAGCATATTTTCTCACCTGTTACTTCACCAACCAGGAATTTTCTTTTCTTATCTCTCTCATTTTTGAAATTCACCAAATTTGCGTATGTAATTTCCACAATGATGTGACTGGTCTCATTCACAAGGAAACTATTAAGATAACTCCTGAATTAATTGTCATTGTTCTTGAAAAGGGTCAGGCAATGGAGTTCGAAAAACAATAACGGTTATTATGAAATTGTTTTTATTGAAATGAATATTCTGAATACAATGTATCTCTGTGAAAAACTAAAAACCAAACAACATGTCACTTCTTCGAGGTATCCTCTAACAAATAAATCCTCTTGTTACCAGTATCTTCTCACTCTCCCACCACATCAGCAAAGAAAATATCAGGAGAAAACGTCAAACTGCTATCTTCTTTCTGATCGGTACTCGCGGTAGAAGGAATGTTTCCTTTATCATCCATCATCTGGATTTCAACCTTGCAATCATCTGGCTCCTTCTCAGCGTAAGCATTCAAAAGCAAGTTTTCGATTGAATAGCTCTCATTTACTATGGATGAAATTTTGAAAGGACTTTTCAACTCTTTAGATTCCAGTGAAAGTATCCCTACGTTTTTCGGATCGATCAAAGCACCAGCGTTATCCATTACTTTACATGGTTCAATGGTGAAATCTGCCGAGTCTATTTCAGCATTGCCGAATAGATCAAACGTTTCCGGAATAAGCGGGGTATTTTCTTCCGCCGTATTGATCTTATCCTTAGTAAGGTGCAATTCCTGAACCTCGCCTAATTTTCCTTCTTCATCTATCACTTGATATTGCAGACCATCCTTCTGAAGGTTCTGGAGCACTTCGTCAGTGACAGTGACGAAGTTTCCATCACTGGTCTTGAACATTATCTCCACATTAGAGTTGGCTTCGTTTCCCAATAGATCCTTTAGCTTATCAGCAGTAAGTTCTTCGGAGCTATTGGGTATAGACAACTGAATGACATTGTCTGCCACTTTTGGGTCAGTGGGCAAAAACACTTGACCAGCACCAAATCCTAGTGTAGGATGCGGAATAAAATTCTCAACTGTGGTCTCCGTGCAAGTTTCTTCAATGATGAAAGTATTAGCCTGTGGAGCAGATGCGATCTCTTTTTTCAAGTTAGCAATAGCCAATCTACTAGCCTGGGCTTCCTTAACACATGCCTGGTGTTCAGCTTCTATACGTAACTTTCTCTTGACTTTGTTGGGTTTGTGCAGATTGCTGGGCGAAACTGGCGCTGGGTTGAACGGATGAGCAGGGTATTTGAGCTTTTTGGAGAGAAACTGGGGCTTAGGAATCACTATCATGTCGTCTGAAAAAGAAAAAGCAAAGGTGAAAGGCGACATTTAAAGGACGATAAACAATTTATAAGAAAGAATGACTTTTTGTAGCTGGTAATACAACGTCGCTTTTTAATTTAGAAAATTCCCAGCTGATAAATAATTAAAAACGTATCAATATAATTGATAAAACAGTAAAAGCGAAGTCATCATTAAGCGCGAATTTTGGTTTATATAGTACAAGGGTCCAGGATTTGTGTCAGGCGGGTCACATGATTCATGTTCAGGAGAATTTTTGTCTCCGGACGAGAAGGTGTGTGTCTTATTCACTGAGTCATTCTGGGGTTTTGAAGTAAAATAGCCTTATTATTTTGGTCCAGTTTTCTAAATTATGGAACCGTTACTGGTTCACTCGTATTGAAAATTTGATAATTCTCATTAAAGATCCGTTATCAGCGACCTGAAAAACCACGAATATATTTTTTTTACAAAACGGTTGATGTTATCAAAATCAAACAATTCTTGAAACAACTGCAGGTAGTATTACAATGATGTAGATGGAACAGTACGTTATAATTTCCAAAAACACTATTTTCTAGGCATTATTATACAAAGGTGTACAAAAATATATTGCGTCTATGGCTGGTCCGCCTCTGGCGAACTAAATGAGTTAATAGTTTTAGTTGGATCGTCACTTACGTTCTAACATAGCGTAACTCAAAACTGACAAGTTTTTAAAAGAGCAAAATTTCCTATCGAATGACGCATGATATCGCCAGTTTTTAAGTTTCGCGATGTTAAAACTTGAGCGGCGATATATGACAATTATTTAAGAAAAACATATTTCCAACGAACGTTTCCTTTGAGGTGCTATTTTTCATCAAGAGGCGTTTCGCAAATCGAGAGGATCAAATACAATAGTTTCAGAATAGTCCCAAGAGTCACACATTCAATGCTTGCGCCATGTTTGGGAACACTATGTAAATCATAAGACTTAGACAATATCATCATACTGAGTAACAGCTAAAAGCGGTCAAAAGTAGGAAGTAGTGCATATGCTTATGAGCTGATAAATGAAGAGGGCGAGATTTGATCACTCTTACGGTTAGATTACTCTGATGCTTACTCCTTATCATCAAAACGAGTTTTTTTCAAGTTTTCTCACAGCGTCAAAGGCGCGCGCGAAAAGGTTTTTCTTATATTCCTGTCCGAATGTCTAAATTTTCGATTTATTACCTTATTTACAGAACACATAAGGCTATGATGCACTAACGGACATGCAGTACTACAAAGCCGAACCATGGAAACACTATTTTATATATATATATATATATATATATATATATATATATATTTATATTACGCAACACTTATTTCCACGCAATCATCGATGTGCTTACAAATTGATCAGGATTGCCAGGTGTGGTGATTTGTATCCATTACATATTTCTATATTAAATTTACTGAAGAGATTCGAGAGTCATAAATATGAGAGACAGATCCGCCATAGGGGAAGTTATGCTCCCTCCCTGAATCCGCAGTTGATATAGTACTTAGTAGTAGTTTTATGTTCCTTTATAAGAACCTCAAATTCAAAAATTTTCATAATTACCAATTTATAATGTAATATGTGAACGAAAACCTATATCGCTCATTTTGGTCTATATCTCCACTGCATCCTGCATCCGAATTCGAACTAGGTCGAAGCAGCCAGTCAACGGTTTTTTGTCTCCTAATTTTCATAGTCTGTAGTAAGAATCGAAGTACATACTACAAGTACACTTGACGTAAGGAAATTTTTTACAGCTCTGTCATTAAACTCATATATTGCTGTTACTTTTTAAAAGTGCGAGTGTTTGCAGATAACTGAGGTGTTAGACGATTTCAAGACACGGTACTTATTCTTAGATAATTTGCAAAGAGCAGCACCAGCCTACTGAAGGTAGATATTTCCACCGGTAAGTATTATTATTGTGTTAGTACAAAACGAGGCTGAACTATACTTTAGCGCACATCGCAAATATTTAATTTCTTAATTTAAAATGAAAGATTACGATGTAACTTGCACGAAAATATCATTTTTTCTTTAACACGTTCAGTGCGAACAGCGTCAAAAGACGCCCTCCGCTCCTGTGGTGGGAGGCGAACGGCGTCTTTCGACGCTCTCTGCCGGCTTCCAAATAAAGGAAAAAAGTATTTCAGTTTCTGAGGTGGGCATCCTCATCCCAGTTCGCAGTCAATGTGTTAAGGAACCCTCTGCTTGCTATTTGCAACTTCAAAGTTGGATTTTGGGTGCTAATACTGTGGTATAAAACACTGCTTTATAAGCTGTTTTCTTCTTGTTTATACAAAAGATTGTTCAACATTATACTAAGTGACATATAAATCCGAACACCCAGTTTAAATGGTCTTATTTTAATAAAATTTTGTATAAGTACTTAATGAAGCATAATAAGTAAATGATAAAAATTTCAAAATGATTGCACTGCTTTAAAGCCCTTTGACCTTTAATAATGTGTGGATGCACCCTGATGTGGTACGCATTCTCCAACGCGCCTAGGCATGCTTCTGATCAGGTGGTCAATGTCCTCCTGTGGTATCTCATTCCAGGCAACCACCAACTCCTCTCGAAGTGCTTCTAGAGTCTGAGGAGGACGTTGCAAATTGAGCAATCTCCTACCCATCATATCCCACACGTGCTCAATTGGGGATAAGTCGGGAGATCTTGGTGGCCTTGGTAACAATGTGACATCATTATGTTGAAAGAAGTCTATTGTGACTCTTGCAACATGTGGTCGGGCATTATCTTGTTGGAAAGTTGGATCTGCCAGGGTGTCAAGATAGGGTAAAAGATGGGGTTCTAGAACTTCGTGGATATAACGCTGCGCGTTCATGTTACCTCTGATGGAGATTAAAGGTGACCTGGAACCATAAGCTATAGCACCCCAAACCATAACTCCAACAGTGTGATGAACATGTCTTTCATCAAAAAACTGTGGATTCCTCCTTTCACCACGTCGCCTTCTAACCCTGGCACGACCATCGTGCATGTCTAAACAAAATCGAGACTCGTCACTAAAGACAATACTGTTCCATTCCTGATCCCAGAGTGACCGTTGTCTGCATCACTCAAGGCGATTACGTCGGTGTTTTCGAGTTAAAGGGAGGACCCAGTGTGGTCGGTATGAAAACAAGCCAAAACTTCTCATTCGTCGGTAAACACTTCGCATGCCAATAGGTCTTCCGTATTCTGCAAACCATTCATTTGCAATGGACCTGGTAGTGGAGAAACGGTCCCTTAAGGCCAATAATCTTAGGCGGCGATCTTCACGGTCTGTTGTTCTACGGCAGCGTCCAGTGCCCCTTGCTCTTTGCGTGCGGCCTTCTCGAAGCCATGCCTGACAACACCTAACCACAGTGTCTACACTTCTTTGCACTCTAACTGCAATTGCCCGAAAAGAAAGTACAGCTTCCCGAAATCCCACTATACGGCCCCTATCAAACTCACTAAGTTGACGAAATCGTACAGGTCTCCGTACTCTAGGCATCGTAACCGATCGTAAAGGATGTCAAGAACCAAAATCCGCCAACGTTAATTCTTTACTGCGGCTGAAATATTCATTTTTAGAGCGTTAGTGAATTAAAAAAAAGCAGTATAAAAACCGGAATGTCCAACTGATAAGGCTGAACATTTTTTCACTTGTTATTTACAGTAAGATAAATACATTCACCAACTTTTATTAAAATAAAACCATTTAAACTGGGTGTTCGGATTTATATGTCACTTAGTATAGTTATAATCTATTTACTTTTTGTATGTATGTACTTGAAGAATTATTTAAAGAGAAGCTGATGTTACAAAATGTACCTAATTAAATGTGATATATTTGAGAAATAACTGAAAAAGTAGCTGTTGCAAATCACTTAACAATAAAAACATAACAACGAACGTTGCATGTTTTTTGATGATTTGATGAAATGATCGTTGTTCTTTATTTAACTATAATGTTGGACGATGATATTTTTGGTGTTTAGACAGATACTTTTCAAAATTTCATCTAGTTTTCGGTGAATATTGGGACAACTCTTCATAAAACAAGCCATTTACAATAAATTAAGACTTTTATTTTGCTAATAACCTCATTTCTAATTAAGTATTTCTCTCAAGAAGGAGACAACTTGGCAATAATTGACATCATTTATCTTATCTGTCAAGAAATGAGCGTTATAAACTGGCCATTGAGAAATGTTTGTACTTTCAAATATTTCTTATAAACGCAACTGATGATAAACCTAAAGTCAGTAGCACCAAGGAAAGAAAGATTAACAGCTGTTTTACAGAATCTGACGAAGAACCCCTCGCTAACCTTCTGAGAAAAGAAAACAAAAAAATAGAAAAAAACAACCTGAATGACAACGACATCGGCGTTGTGGACATCTGCTTAGTCTGCCAGGAATTTGGGAATAGCGGTGAAACTTCGTATAGGTACATTTACTGTGGAAAATGGGTTCACAAATTATGCAGCGGGCAAAGTACCCCTGCAAATTTTATTTGTGATTTGTGTACTTCTAATATTGCAAAGTAAACTGCTCTTAGTTTGTAAAAAAAACATGTATGCGGCACTTTGGGTGGGTTCCCATTTTATTTTTTTATCGTTTATGTAAAAATAGAGTGCTGTGTGCGTCTAATATGACCTAAGTATTTTATTTTCCTGCGAAAAAATAAATAAAATCTACCTGGCCATCTCACCTCAAAGGTATGGCCATCTCACCTCAAAGGTATGGCCATCTCTCCTACAGACTGTAGGAGAGATGGCCAAATGCCACTTTTTATGACATGATAATTATTGAAAAAACTATTTTGCTGCTAGTATTAAATTTTAAAGGTAATCAACCTATACATGTGTAAGAAGTTATATACCAAATTTCAAGTTTGTACTTTCCATCTATCAAACAATATAACCAATAATAAAAAGTATGGCGATCTTTCCTCGACTTACCTTATGTATTTTGATCTGTTGTTTAAGCTAATAAGCTAATGTGTAATAACATGTCTGGTTTTTAACCTTTTTCTTTGAAAAAACAACGATTTTTTACAATTTCACATCTATTTTCCTTAGTACTATACAGTGTATGTTATATTCTTATAATTCAGAGCATCGTTTTGTACAAAAAGCAAAGAAGACAGCATATAAAACAGTATTCTATTCTAGAGTATTACCACCAAAAATGCAACTTTGAAGTTCTATGAAATAGCAAGCAGAAGGTTCCTTAAAGAGAAAATGATATTTTCGTAAAGGTTACATCCTAATCTTCCATTTTAAAGTAAGAAATGAAGTATTTGCGACATGCGCTAAAGTATAGTCATACCCAATGCGGTCACTTTGTTAGGCATTGGTAGTCAAATGAGTCAAAAGTATGCACGACAACTACGTACCTAATTTTGGCGACAAACATATAAGCTTGGCTCCTTCTAATGTATTCGAATTCGTTGCGGCCTCCTAAATCAATTTGAATGAAATTTGAGGAGCAATATGATATGGTCATAGTAGATAACGCTGCTATATTTTTAAAAAAAGTTTTGGGTTGCAGTCAAAAAAACTCTTTGATGTGGCCGATATTCATTTATTTTAGATTTTTGATTAGTACGCCGCTTCCTCAGAATGTCTCCAATTTTTTATAAATAGCTCCAAGCAACTACTCATCAACGTCCATCGAGGATACATTTTTAAAAAAATATCGCTCTTGAGTCATTACCATAGTGTTCAAAAATAAGCAATATTGCGGTAGTTTTTCCCTTGCGATATAAATGAGACACGAAATAAAAAAAACAGTCTACAGTGTATCGTCCCTTGGGAGTCAGTATTTTCGTAGGAGATTCCTGTATGAAATTTTTCATAAGACTTGTGACACTTTTTGCTTATTCTAATTGCAACCGAGAAATAAACTATGCATGTACCCTGTCTAAGACATAATAAAATTGGAATATCTTAATGGATTGAATTACCAGGTAAGGGGCAGTCAAATGTCACATTTTCTAACGTTTTCATTCGTAATGTCCTGGCTGCTGCAACTAAATATTTGACATGTTCTTCTGATATAATAGTTTGCCCACAGTACATGAACTCCACTAAGGATCTCACCACAGAAGAATCACATCCTGTGATCACCACTTGCTCGACAGATGAATTTTTCTCCAGTTCTTCCTATAAAAATACATCAGTTATGATCATATGTGTATTTGTGGGAAATATGTACTCACCTTAAACAATGGACTGTGGGCAGCGAGAACCACTTTATGAGCGCGTAAAACGTTATTTCCGCAGCGAATGGCTACATCCACGAAGTTCTGGTGTTCCATAAATGAGCACAGTGCCCAAGTAGTCTGCTGAGGATGTTGTTCAGACTGTATACAGTATTTGGTTCGACCATTTCCAACCTTGTTCATTTTTTGCCTGAAGATGTCCAATTAAAACGTATATTCGCAGCTACAAATAAAAAATTGTCTCACCCCTAATAGAATTTGAAGTTGTACAGGTACAATCGACAGTATTAACACTAAAAGAATTGGGCTACTGGATAAGTAGCTGTTTTTTCTTGTAGTTACCCAAAATTCAAATTAAACTGACATTTCACATCGGTTTTGCCAACGTCAATACTAAGAATGAGGAAAGTCCCTATATAACACTAGTAAATTATAGTTTACGAATTGACCATAAGATGTCGCCCTAAATAAAAGCTTACACACAGAAATATAAAACATAACTGAAACAACAAATGCAATTATCTACTACAAATTTCTTTGCGTTTCAGCCTTTAAAGGCCTTTATGTATAATAATCATTGCAGTTCATATCTATGATGGAACAGTCAGTAAATTCTACAGCGCCATCTAGCAACGGCTAAAATTGACTAGGAACTCTCTAATTCTTGCTACAGAAAACTGTTTAAATTTAGACCCCTGTCTCCTCAGGTGTATTTTTTAATTCACCGGTTAAGAATCCGGTGCAACCAATTATCCAATTTTACTTCCTTTAAATTCCGTCTGAGCGACCGGTTGTACACCAAACTTGTCTATATAAAGTGTTGTTCAATAGGGACGCAGGAAAGTAAACGTCAATTTGACATAGACGCCATCTTTGTTTTCTGTCACCGACATGCAGTGTTGCCAGAAGTAGCGGAATTTCCAAGTGGTAGCGGCGGAATTGGATTTTTTGTTAAAAGTAGCGGAATTTTGCAATATAGGTACACATGATGGATATTTTTACCAGAAAAAAAAGCGAGTGCAGTTAGTAACCAAATCTAAATACAGATATATTTCCAATCGACAGTGACAATCACTTGTTGGTACTTCTTATTCAACGGAGACACGTATAGATGGTAGTAGGTGGTAAGAACACAACCTGTGAAGTGTATTTCCAAAGTATGTCTAGTAATCTTAACTTTTGCTACATGGCAATGCAGATGTCGAGTGGACATTCTGATATATGGAGATAATCAAAGCAAAGAAAAGGAATCGTATTTTATCTTTAACTTTTGTTCGCGATAATTATCAAACTGGATACAATACAAAAAAATTTTGCTGCTTAAAAAATACAAAAATAATTTATATACATAGTATAGAGAGAAGAGAAATGCAACAAGAAGAATCTGATACAGACAGTGACTAAGTTTAAGTAACTCAAAAACTTCAATTTTTTTATGCAAAACAGAAATGGCCTTTACTTACTTACTCCTTTTTACTTTTTAGTTTCCTGTGATATTTTTTCAATATGACTGCGTGATGAATGTTCTGTTGTTTTCAATATTGTATTGGTTTTTATAGTCAAATGTTTTTTTCATTACACTTTTATTTTATATTTTATCACGCTGTTTGGTTTTTGTTTTCCTTTTTTGACACAATCTGCATAATAAAACGATAATCCCCGGGGTAGCGGAAAGTAGCGGAGTTTTTGATACCAGTAGCGGAATTTTCAATGTTGGCTCTGGCAACACTGCCGACATGTCATTTTGTTAGTTGAATGTTTACAATTGATCGCTATGGAGTCGTATTCGATTGAAGACCGCATTAAAGTTATTCAAGAGCACTACAAAAATGGTGCACAAATAAAAAACACGTTTCGCGCGCTTCGTGAAGATTTCGGTCGCCCAAACGAAACAACCATCGGTCGTCTGGTGCGTAAATTCGAGGCAACAGGTTCTGTGGCAAATCTGCCAGGCTCTGGCCGGCCAAGGAGCGTTCGCACACCGGAAAATATTGCTGTTGTGAAGGAGAGTGTGAGAGACGGTAAACAAGCAAAACTCCCGCATCTGGGCGAACGAAAATGCCCGTGAGTATCAAGAGCAGCCGATGCATCCTCAAAAAGTGACTGTGTTGTGTGCAGTGTGGTCAAAAGGCATCATCGGACTTTACTTTTTCGAAAATGCGGCCGGGGACGCCATTACCGACAATTCTGAGCGATATCACGTGATGATAGAGGACTATTTTTTGCCGCAACTTGAAGGAATGGATATGGACGATGTTTATTTCCAACAAGACGGTGCAACATGCCACACAACCAACGAGAATATCCATCCATTGCAGTCCCTCTTCGGTGATCGCGTGATTTCGCGCAGGCCACTAAGATCGTGCGATTTGACTCCCTTGGACTACTTTTTATGGGGATATTTGAAAAGCAAAGTCTACGTCAACAAACCAGCCACCCTCCAAGATATCAAAAACAACATCATTGCCGAGATAAATGTCATAGAACCGACCATGTTGCAAAATGTCATTGAAAATTTCGACCATCGCGTGGACGTCTGTAAATCCAGTCGTGGTGAACATTTGAGCGATATTATTTTTCATACATAAATGGTATAAATGAACCTTCAAAATAAAGTAAACTTGATTTGAATATCAATCTTGTTTTACGTTTTGCGTTTACTTTCCTGCGTCCGTTTTGGACAACCCCATAGTTTATAGACAATTAGTACTGTGGTAACTTAAACAAGTTTTTTGTGGCTTGTACTGAACTGTTGACATTTATGAAGAAAGTAACAATAAATACAACAGTTTACTGTGAATTAAGTGAATAATTCCGCTGTTTAATCTGTTGCCTATGGAAAGCTAACTTGTGCTAAAAGATCAGGAACATCTCGGGTACCAAATTCTTGAAATTGAAGGAATGGAAGAGCTAGAAGAAAGTATCCTATTTCCGTTTCTCATAGGTTTTGACGTTTATTGAATACATTATTATGCGTTCATCTGTTTTCGTCAAAATAATGTTTCCAGGCTTCACCACAAAGGTAACTTTATCTTTAGAAACTAGACAGATGGACGACGCCTAGAAATTTTGTACTTTTTTTCCAAAATGATTCGGCAAACAACTATTCTATTAGGGTTCAGGAATATAATTCACCAAAACGTAAAAGAACCATGCTGACTTTATTTCATTTATTCTACTCCCTCACTTCAAGAATAGGGGTCCTGCAGTTATAGTGATGCCTCCTTATAAACATAAACAAATTGATTATATTCTGGTATAATCTTTATTATCAGCCAAGCAACCTGGAATCTGGCCCACAAACCACGGATTACTCACAGATAAACTGCTTGTAGGATCCGGCAGTTACTAATATAATAGTAGAAGGTGTGACTAATAGATTCAAGGAAAGAGATGGGGCTGGCTGCAGAGGATACTTTAAAGCCACCTTATGACCATTAGGTGGTCCAGCAATTAAATAGCTGCACAGGAAGATTATCCACGTTAGTAGGCAAAAATTATACACTTTCAATCTAGTCACAAGGAGATTTATACCACAGTACCATCTGGCAGTATATAAATCTCGTAACTGTTAACCAGAACTGCTTTCCAGTGACCCTGTTGAGTTACTCTGAGTTGGTAACTCAGTAGAGCTCAGCTCCAATGCCGTTCCACTGCATGTTGTATACTCATGCATAGTTTCTGGAGCGGTAACAGAGGTGCATCACTATCAAACCAGAAACCACTAGAAAGCAGCTCTGGGTAAAGGATCATTTACAAACCAAGTGTAATGTCACAGCTGCTCAACTGGAATGAAGCACTTCTGAAACTAGATAACAGTCTGCATTATAAACTCATCTTCATTAAGCAAACATAAGGATGTAAGCATTATCTTGTATTGTCAGAATTGTCATACCGATTTGCTCAGTGCTTTCATTTTTGGAAATGTGAATTCCTATAAGAGCTGCATTCCAGTGGATTTGGGTTTGCTCCAGGAACAATGCATGAGAATACAACATACAGTGGAACAGTATTGCTGCTGAACGCTACTAAGTTACTCAGAATAACTCAACAGGGTCACTGGAAGACAGCTCTGGCAGGGGTATTATGTTTCTTGGAAAGTGACATCATGTCGCTTTTTATTACATTATGCAGGTTTTTATGACATTATGTAGGTTTTCCGACAAGACCTCAACTTGGAACTAGCTGCGACTTACATCATGCTCACTTGTAGCAAGCACATAATTAACTATTTGCACACCAGCCTACTTAGTCAACAAGTTGACATTTTATAGGTTTTCTGTCATTATATAGACTTTTTACGTAATAATCTTTCCGAGATTTTCCGCATTCTGCCTATGGAAACCATGACAACTAAGCTAAAAAAAAGTGCACCCAATCAGTGTTTAAAAACTGGTGAGTTAAGTCTGGCTGATTATTCCGTGATCCCATATGTAAGGGATGTGAATAGCAACGCAAAATGCATAGCTTGTGACTGCCTAATTCTGATATCTATATATTTATTTATTCTGTGTAAGCATTGGTCTTTTTTAACTAATCTCAGTTCATCTATGAGAAAAGGCAGCCAAACCAGTTCCTAGAAGTACTTATTTATGGAAAATTTCTTAGATCAACACAGAAAATTCGGAAATGAGGGTAGCTTTCTGATTTGGTAGTTTGCATTTGTTGCTGCCACAGTGTGGCTACTCCTATGAACGAATTTTTATACTTCTGTCTAAAGCTTAAACCTTCTAATTGATGAGCATATATATTTGCATGAGCCTCGGTTAATGGTTTTAAAGCTCTGATTTAATACTATTCAAGTCATTCTTTCAGCTACTGCCTAACATATGGCACGCAAATGGCTCGACAAACAGCGCATCACAGATTTCGATGACTCTCTGGAGCAACTGGCATAAGTCACTCTAAACTTACTTTTTTTCAGATAAAAATAATATTTTCTCTTAACAAACAATTCAGGCAACTTAACCACCTAAAGACCATTTAGTATAGCCACGGATTGTAGCATTGCGAAGTTAATTTCACTCGACTATTTTCGCTAATCCATCTGATGACATCGACTATTCCCATTCGAGGTGTTCACCTAATGCGAGTTTCATCATAAAAGTGTCCAATTTGTGTGAAAAGCGATTTGCTACCAGGCTCACAGAAACGCGAGGTAATATAGAGAAACTACTCTGCTCATGTATCAATGATGCTGGCGGGAACAACTCTCGTCGTGTCTACGATCCTACTACAAAATCTTGAAAGTTCGAAATTCGCACATTCCGTAGTGAAACTTTCATCGTACAAGTGCCGAATTTGAATGAGAAGCAATTTGGTATTAGGCTCACAGAAACATGATGAGGTATTGAAAAAGTACTTAACTCTTAATGTTGATGATACTGGAGGATACACCTCTCGTCGTTTCTCCGACCCTGATACAAAATCTTGAAAAGCCTAAATCCGCACATCCAGTCATCAGAGAGTCAAATTTATGTGAGAAGCAAATTGCTATCAGGGTTGCAGAAACGCGAGGAGGTATAGAAAAATACGTCAGTACTATAATGAATGATGCTGGCAGGAACACCTCTCGTCGTTTCTGCGATTATAATACGAAAGTTCGAAATTCGCACATTCTGTAGTGATACTTTCACCGTAGAAGTGGCGAATTTAAATGAGAATCAATTTGGGACACCTCTCGTCGTTTCTGCGATCCTGATACAAAATCTTCAAAGTTTGAAATTCGCGCATTCTGTAGTGAAGCTTTCATCGTTGAAGTGCCGAAATTGAGTAAGAATCAATTTGGTATCAGGGTCACAAAAACAGGAGGAGGTATGGCAAAAGTACTTTACTCTGGATGTTCATGATACTGGAGAAAACACATCTCGTCGTTTCTGCGATCCTGATACAAAATCTTGAAAAGCTCATAACCGCACATCCAGTCATCAGAGTGTCAAATTAATGTGAAAAGCAAATTGCTATCAGGGTTGCAGAAACGCGGGGAGGTAGAGATAAAATGAGCTAGTACTAATATGAATGATGCTGGCAGGAACACCTCTCGTCTTTTCTGCGATCCTAATACGAAATCTTGAAGTTCGAAATTCGCACATTCTGTAGTGATACTTCCACCGTAGAAGTGGCGAATTTGAATGAGAAGCGATTTGGTATCAGGGTCACTGAAACACGAGGAGATATGGCAAAAGTACTTTACTCTTGACGTTGATGATACTAGAGGAAAGACATCTCATCTTTTCTGCGATCCTGATACAAAATCTTAAAAAGCTTAAATCCTCACATTCAGTGATCAGAGAAGTGTCAAATTCTTGTGAGAAGCAAATTGCTAACAGGGTTGCAGAAACGCGAGGAGGTATAGAAAAATACGTCAGTACTAATATGAATGATGCTGGAAGGGACACCTCTCGTCGTTTCTGCGATCCTGATACAAAATCTTGAAAAGCTCATAACCGCACATCCAATTATGAGAGAAGTGTCAAATTAATGTGAGAAGCAAATTGCTATCAGGGTTGCAGAAACGCGGGGAGGTAGAGATAAAATGAGCTAGTACTAATATGAATGATGCTGGCAGGAACACCTCTCGTCTTTTCTGCGATCCTAATACGAAATCTTGAAGTTCGAAATTCGCACATTCTGTAGTGATACTTCCACCGTAGAAGTGGCGAATTTGAATGAGAAGCGATTTGGTATCAGGGTCACTGAAACACGAGGAGATATGGCAAAAGTACTTTACTCTTGACGTTGATGATACTAGAGGAAAGACATCTCATCTTTTCTGCGATCCTGATACAAAATCTTGAAAAGCTTAAATCCTCACATTCAGTGATCAGAGAAGTGTCAAATTCTTGTGAGAAGCAAATTGCTAACAGGGTTGCAGAAACCCGAGGAGGTATAGAAAAATACGTCAGTACTAATATGAATGATGCTGGAAGGGACACCTCTCGTCGTTTCTGCGATCCTGATACAAAATCTTGAAAAGCTCATAACCGCACATCCAATTATGAGAGAAGTGTCAAATTAATGTGAGAAGCAAATTGCTATCAGGGTTGCAGAAACGCGAGGAGGTATAGAAAAATGCGTCAGTACTATAATGAATGATGCTCGCAAGAACACCTCTCGTCGTTTCTGCGATCCTAATACGAAATCTTGAAGTTCGAAATTCGCACATTCTGTGTGATACTTTCACCGTAGAAGTGGCGAATTTGAATGAGAAGCAATTTGGTATCAGGGTCACAGAAACACGAGGAGATATGGAAAAGTACTTTACTCTGGATGTTGATGGACTGGAGGAAACACCTCTTGTCGTTTCTCCGATCCTAATACAAAATCTTGAAAAGCTCATATCCGCACATCCAGTCATCAGAAAAGTGTCAAATTAATGTGAGAAGCACATTGCTATCCGGATTGCAGAAACGCGAGGAGGTATCGAAAAAATACGTCAGTACTAATATGAATAATACTGGCAGGAACACCTCTCGTAATTTCTCCGATCTTGATACAAAATCTTGAAAAGCCTAAATCCGCACATCCAGTCATCAGAGGCGTCAAATTTATGTGAGAAGCAAATTGCTATCAGGGTTGCAGAAACGCTAGGAGTATAGAAAAATATGTCAGTACTAATATGAATGATGCTGGCAGGAACACCTCTTGATTGATTGAGATATGGCAAAAGTACTTTACTCTTGATGTTGATGATACTGGAGGAAAGACATCTCATCTTTCCTGCGCTCCTGATACAAAATCTTGAAAAGCTCATAACCGCACATCCAATTATGAGAGAAGTGTCAAATTAATGTGAGAAGCAAATTGCTATCAGGGTTGCAGAAACGCGAGGAGGTATAGAAAAATGCGTCAGTACTATAATGAATGATGCTGGCAGGAACACCTCTGGTCTTTTCTGCGATCCTAATACGAAATCTTGAAGTTCGAAATTCGCACATTCTGTAGTGATACTTTCACCGTAGAAGTGGCGAATTTGAATGAGAAGCAATTTGGTATCAGAGTCACAGAAACACGAAGAGATATGGAAAAGTACTTTACTCTGGATGTTGATGGACTGGAGGAAACACCTCTTGTAGTTTCTCCGATCCTAATACAAAATCTTGAAAAGCTCATATCCGCACATCCAGTCATCAGAAAAGTGTCAAATTAATGTGAGAAGCAAATTGCTATCCGGATTGCAGAAACGCGAGGAGGTATCGAAAAAATACGTCAGTACTAATATGAATGATGCTGGCAGGAACACCTCTCGTCTTTTCTGCGATCCTAATACGAAATCTTGAAGTTCGAAATTCGCACATTCTGTAGTGATACTTCCACCGTAGAAGTGACGAATTTGAATGAGAAGCAATTTGGTATCAGGGTCACTGAAACACGAGGAGATATGGCAAAAGTACTTTACTCTGGATGTTGATGATACTGGATGAAAGACAATCTCATCTTTTCTGCGATCCTGATACAAAATCTTCAAAGTTTGAAATTCGCGCATTCTGCAGTGAAGCTTTCATCGTTGAAGTGCCGAAATTGAGTAAGAATCAATTTGGTATCAGGGTCACAGAAACACGAGGAGGTATGGCAAAAGTACTTTACTCTGGATGTTCATGATACTGGAGAAAACACACGTCGTTTCTGCGATCCTGATACAAAATCTTGAAAAGCTCATAACCGCACATGAGCTAGTACTAATATGAATGATGATGACAGGAACACCTCTCGTCGTTTCTGTGAAAGTTCGAAATTCGCATATGCTGTAATGAAACCCTGATATCGGGGTCACAAAGACAAGAACGGGTATGGAAAAGGCACTTTGCGCTTGATGTAGATAGTCCTGCATGGAATATCTATTGATTTTTCTGTGATCCTAATGCAAAATCTTGAAACGTTCAAATCGGCACGTCCAGTAGACATCAGGCTTTCATCGTAGAAGTGTCGAATTTGTGTAAGAACCAATTTGCTATCAGGGTTGCAGAAAGGCGAGGTGGTATGGTAAAAGTACTCGGCTCCTGACATCAATGATGCTGGCGGAAACGCCTCTCATCGTTTCTGCTATCCTGATACAAGTTCTCGATAAGTCTAAAATCAGGCTTTCATCGTAGAATTGTCGAATTCGTGTGGAATCAATTTGCTATCAGGGTTGCAGAAACGCGACATGGTACGGTAAAAGTACTTGGCTCCTGACATCAATGATGCTGGCGGAAACGCCTCCCATAGTTTCTGCTATCCTGATACAAAGTCTCTGTAAGTCTAAATCCGCATCTCCAGTGACCTTACTCGTAGGGTTGTGGAATTTGTATGAGAAGCATTTCGCTACCGGTGTAACAGAAACTTAAGAAGGTATCGAAAAAGTGTTCTCCTCATATCTATGATCATGAACAGGACTACCTATTGTCGTTTCTGGGATCCTGATACAGCATATTAAAAAGATTGGACACGCACGTACAATCATCAGACTCATGGTAGAAGCTAATGTTGTATCATTTTGCTATAAAGGTTGCAGAAACACAAGGAGGTATATAGAAAATACTCTGCTGCTGATATCATCGATGCTGGCGGGAAGACCTCTTATCGTTTATCCGGATACAAAATTTTGAATCGACACATCCAATCATCAGACTTTCACTACAAAGGTGTCGCATTTATATGAAAAGCAATTAGCTATCAGGGTTGCAGAAACTCCGAGAGGCATGGAAAAATCTCGCTGCTATCAATAATGGTAGCGGGAACCTCTTGTCGTTTATGCGATCCGGGTATAGAATCTTGAAAGGCTTCAAATTGCGCAACCAGTCTTCAGACTTTCACCGTACATCCTGATACACAGTCTTGAAAGGTTTGAATCCACACGTCAAGTTTTCAGACTGTCATCGTGAAAATATCATGTTTGTGTGAGAGCAATTTGCTATTAGGGTTGCAGAAACGGGACGAGCTTCATATAAAGTGTTTTGGTCCTGATATCAGTGTTGCTGGCAGGGCATCTCTCGTCGCTTTTATGATCATAATACAAAGAAAGCTTCAAGGAGCACTGCTACGAATTTAATTAAAACAATTTGTGTGTTCATTATAAAAATTTATTGAAATATTTTACAAGAATGAAATAGATAATACATTCATGGTTCCTCACTTCCCATCAATACATACATAACTAAATAGATACATGAAGACATTATGAATTTAGGTTTGAGTTAAGCTAAATATTGTTAAATATTGGGCAAGTTTTCATGCATCTATCGAAACACAGAGGATAATGTAAGAATATATGCATTTTGCAAAAAGATTTATGTTGTTTTACCAATGGAAGAACAATAAGTACAAGAACATATTACGTGGTAGGTACACAAAATAGTACTTTATCATATTTCACTTTTACTATTTGTAGCATGCTGCAGGTAAAAAAGTATTTCGACATTCGAACTGTTATTAAACATGCATTCTTTTGTGATAATATGAGGATACTTGCTCAATTACAGCTCATCATCTGGTACCTAAATTATAGGTATACAGGAGCACACATTTTTTGGCACGCTATTTAATTTTTATAGTATAGTACATATTTAGGGATGTCAGATGATTATACCTATAAGACGTCTTTCCCAAAAAGTGTTTAAATATAGCTTGAAATAAAAAAGTTACACTGAAATAATATCCTAGCGTTTAAACACAATGTCAATTACTAAAATCATAAATTAAGTACAATATTTATTATGAGGTGACGAAATTAGACACTTAAAATTATTTTATTTCGAGAACCTAACATTGATTGTCGATATTTTATTCATTTTAAGGAATAACAAAAATTAAGAAATGTTAGAGAGTGTCTTATAAGATGCAACCCTGTGTATAAGGAATCAACATTTTAATTTACAGTACAAACATGGCACTGTACATTTCTAAGCAATTCTATTTACATTTACATATAGAAAAATATGTACAGAACACTGTTGATAACATATTTCATTTTTATTTTTGTAAAAAATAATCACTTTTTTGAAATATGTTACTTTACAAAGAACTTTTAGCCTTGAGTAGAAATTTATGAATCTGTAAAACTTTACTCAAAAAAGAAGCCGTATTACAAGTTTTATAAGTTTAAATTAACTATCTCTCTACAATAGAGTTTCAGCAAATGATAAAATATCATACGTTTTACACTATATTTCATTAGTAGCTTATCACCAATAAATACTTCACATCATCTTTCAAACCACGAAGACCGCGACATGTAATATAATATAACATCTGAAAATTATCCTGTGGTTTACATGTCGATAATCCTCATGCACTGACGTATATTTTCTTCACTGTAAATGTTTCAATCACAAACGTGATCTGTTTCAGTACAATGATAGATAAATAAAATATATTGTCTTGGTACTGAAGAAGACCACCTTTGTGATTGAAACGTTCACAGTAAAGAAGCTTCTGTCAATACCTGTGGTTTTATTGGCCAGACAAACATGGGATATTATGTTGTAATTATGTCAGGTGTCAATATTTAACTTAAGTCAGTTGAGATCTGTTTTGTTTTAGAATGCTTAATCCAACCAAATGTGATTTAATTTTTTCAACTATCACAACAGTGGAATGGGTGCAACTGCCCGTAAAACATTTGCTGAAATTTTTAGATAGGAGAAGAAATATAGTTAGGTAAGCAGACAGTTATTGTTATAAAGGAAAATTCAACACAAAGGAGCAATACCCAAACCTGTAAAGTTTTACATTTATTTCTATCAGTTTCAAGTATCAGCTCTATTTGGTTCTTGTAATGCTCAATTTTTATACGAGTTAGAAAAAATAAAAAATCAGGATATACCTTAATAAGGAAACTCTGGTTTTTACGATTAACGTCAAAGGGCAAAATACCCGATAAACTTGAGATTCACGCGAAACCAATATCCATCATACGTTCACGGATCCATATTTAGGCTATGCAGACAACTTTCAATAAGGTTTCGACTACGTCAGAAGTTGTTACGGAGCTTTTCTGTATCTGAGCATCAAAGGCCAAAATCTTGAAAATTAATGGGGTGTGTGTGACGCGAATCGATCTAAGACTCCAATGAAAAAGAGGAAGTATAATAACCAGTATGAAACTGTTAAACTTTTGACGGCTGTTTTGATGTTTATCAGATATGTTTATGAATGCATCCATATTCTGCAAAACATGTTCCTAGTTTTTAAATATCATTAAATGTTTTATCGCAGAGTTAACTTCGTCTTTAGATATGATGCAGACTGACAATGGAGAGACGTCCTGAATGACCCGGGAAACGTTTTCATGATATTAAAGAATGCAGTTCCCTAAAAAATAATAGCATATCGCCCACTTCTTATCAGTTTCTCAACTCATTCTATGTATTCTACCTGAAGATAGCTGTATTCCAATGTAAAAGTATTATCCGAGATGAAATAAGAGACCAGAGCGTCATCAATGAGAATTAGTCACAGCTATGTTTCTCCTTATCGCATTTATTATAAATCAACTTTGTAAAAGACTGTCTTATAATGCTCGTATAGTTGGCTACAGCGCCACTAGCCGCAGTAGATTTCGAATTATTGCACAGAGAGGAAACGCAGCTGTGATAAATTCTCCTACATGACATTCTGCTATCGCGATTTATCTCGGATAATTTTTTGTATGCGGCAATATAGCGTTGATCTGGCGATCTACAGGTAGAATATGTCAATCAGTGCTGTAGTCCCCCCTGTAGCGATGTCTAAGATGCTTTCACAGTCTCCTATTTTTTCTCTCAAGTCCAGGTATTACACTTTGTGCTTACTTGCTGAATAATGGTGAAAGATAATGAGTATTACAGCATGACCAAATAGCGCCAAACCGAAACTATTCAGTTGTAGAGTTGGCATATGCGAATATTCATAAAAAAATAACACAGCAGCTCAGAGAGTGCGGAATGTATCATCCACAGCCTATAAAATCTATCCTTGTAAACAACAGCATTGTGTCAGTCCGAGAAGACGAACTCATTCTCAGACAGCAATACTTCTAAATCAGATTGGACGGTATGAATGTTGGAGTCGATCTCGTGCTCCGGCAATCCGGCCGATACATTCACCAGGTCTGCAGTTTCTTCTTTTTTCACGTCTTTTTCCACCACAGTCCGCACTAGCACACCTGTCCTGGGTGATTTTTGTTCCGGTTTCTTCGGCTCCGGGACTTTTTCGATCACAACACTGGTTTTCTCCGGCTTGCGCAACCTAACACTAAATTTGAAAGGCGGTTTGTAAACGACTTGCAGTCTGACTTTCTCTTTCTCGCTGGGGATGTTTCCCACGCTGTGCGACTTGCTCTTGTCGGTACGAGGTCGAATTGTAGGGCGCTTATGTGGGCTTCGTCGAGTTTTGTCGGTTAGACCTACTGGCGTGGACTTGGATTTGGGCAGTGAGCAGTGCGACTTGAGCAGCCAGTTCTGGACCTTTCCGACTGGGTCTGTCTCAGGTGTCAGGGAGTTATGCACCACCTGTAACAACAAGACCCACAAATAAAGCTACTAAAATTTTCAGGAAGGTACTTAATTTAGATATTCGTCAAAATTAAGAAATCAGAGAGAGAGGTAGATAAGATGTGAGCCATTCATTATGAAGTAAATGATAATAAATCGCCTTCAATGGGACGAAGAGGGTTGATGACAGCATGGAACCTACTGAGATGTTGCATAGGAAAGTTTACCTCCGCATTTTCCACCAAATCGCATTCTGCAATAATTACTCCTAATCCCATTCGACAGGGTCAGATTTTAGGGTTACTTTTTAACAACTTTCGTGTTCTTTTCTTGCTAGTGAAAGCGATTTCTTGAAATAAACCTTTTCGCTGGAGATAGAATTCAGAGAAAACTATTTAATGACCGTGTGCCCCTCATGCAAGCAAAGGAAGAGTGTGACGCAGTGGCGGATGTAGAGGGGGGCGTCTGACACTTGCTTTAGTAATCTAGCACCATTGTGTTCCTTTCTGACACATCATGGCGACAGAGGCATACTAACTATAAGTTATAGCTATAGGAACTGAGCATTGCGATTTTTGGTATCCTTTGGTATTCCATGCGCCGTCCCTCTTCGACATCAGTTACGTTTACAGCACAATTGTTACGTATATACGAGTATTGTGACTTGTGACAAATCTAAGTCTAAGCAACATATTAGCTATACAGATTGCACTTAAAAAGTGATTTATGCTCTATTTGTTGCTCAATAGTAATTTGAAAACTGTGTAAAGCTTGACTGATTTTGTTCGGGGTTGGTGTTGCAGCGAAGCACTATTAGTCTAATCATATTAGACGAAAATACCCCTGGTTTGCGAAATAATTCTAAAGTCTGGTTTTATTGCTGCAAGTTGCTCAAGGGGGTATTCAAAACATGGGCGCCTAAAATGGGTACACCAATTTTTGTGGGAAAACTTTTTATTCGACAACAAAGAATGAGAAAATGTGTTTTTTGGGATTCAATCTAAATAATTGGTAGGGACAAAAACTATCCTTATAAGATTTTGAAGTATTTATGAGACCTACAAAATGAGACCACACGTAAAAAGATCCGAGTAATAGCAAAAAAGTTATCGCCGAAAACCGAGGCAAACTGCAGGTCTTGACACGTATTGGTAATGCGACGACGCTTTCTCGCAAATATTTGAAATTCTTCAAATTCATAGGATTGGTACTTCCAAATAACCACCACAAAATTGGAGTAGATCGGTCAAGTAGTTTGTGAGAATTTCTAATTGTTTATCCCAAGACATCTGTTTTGCGGCCACCACTACTATGTATTTCGTCGTAGCGCATTTGCTCATTTACTCACAAATACGAAATGCCTTTGTTTTTCGCATAAATAACATTTATCTTTCGGAATGGTTTGTAATTCATATCGGCAAGGTAAATTAGTGTATTTTGCTGTAAACTGCTCTTTGAACTTATCCTGTATATAGATCAAGAAACTAGTAGTGATGTCCGGAAAACAGGTGTTTTGAGATAAACAATTAGAAATTCTCAAAAAACTACTTGACCATTATACTTCAATTTTGCTGTTATTATTCAGAAGTATGAAACCTGTGGATTTGAAGAATTTAAAGTAGTTGCGTAAAATTATCGTCGCACGACCCACAAGTGTCAAAACCTGCATTTTGCCTGTTTTTTCGGCCATAACATTTTTGCTATTAGTCGGATCTTTTCACGAGAGGTCTCATTCTGTAGGTCTCATAAATACCCAATAAATACCCAAAAATCTTACATTAAAAGTTTTTCCGTTTCTGTCAACACTTTCGATTGAATCCCAAAAAACACGTTTTCTCATTCTTTGTTGTCAAATAAAAAGTTTTCCCACAAAAAATGGTGTAACCATTTTATGCGTCCATGTTTAAAATGCGCCCTTGAACAACTTGCACCAATAAAACCGGACTGCAATTATTTCGGGGAAATTTGCTAATATGATTAGACTATATGTTAGATGGACGCATACATTGGAAATATACATTTATGAGATTTGCTTAGCGATGCGTCTGTAGCTTGTCCAGAAAATGCGTCGATTGATGCTCAAAGTCAATACCACACGTCCCGCTTTTCTTCTCGCGTATGTTTCTATTTATGTTGCTATATTGGAATTCGTTCAAGTCACACAGCTTCTGCACTATACGTGAATATGTACAGCCCTGTATTCCTGTTTTTGTTTTGTACAAACATACATTATCAAAACAATTACGAACTAACACATAGTTTTTTCCAAAGATTTCCAAAATTTTTACATGCGATCAACACCGATGCGAAAACTGTGAAACAACAACTATGCCGTAAATCAAAGTTCGAGAACGAAAGTCTGAAGAATAACTGTAACGTCTATATCGAATTTCAAAAAATAATCGACTATGCCTATTGTTATTTTTATCACCTGCTGATATAATAGAAGTGCTTGATTGTGTCAGTATCTACACCAATTACTTGATTTGTTCAACGGGTAGTTCAGAGTATTAATCCTTAAGCTTAGTACACACTAGTAGATCCAGTTGCGCACTTTGTCTATAGGCAGTCTGGAGACGGTCTCAAGACACGATCTATAGATGGTCTATAGACATCCTTCTTTGTCTCGTCTAGCGTCCATACGATAATGTGAATTTTTCGGTTTCATATTCGTTTTCGCCATCAAAGACATTGTTTTGTGTGGAATGGCTAGGATATGTCTCGGGGTCCCTCAAAATGTCATTTTTGGTTAACAGAGCAATGAGGTTTTTTATGTTTTAATCTTTAATATTATTACACTAGTTAATTATTAATTCCACGTAATTCATTTGTTCTCATATAATAAAATATTGCCTTTCTGAGGATTTCCACTGAGGTAGAAAATTACCAGCCCCAAATATCGTTAGCGTCCCCCCCCTAGACGAAATCTTGAATCCGCCCTTAGGGAGACGCCGAATATTCGGATGTATTGTAACACATTTTTCTGATGTTAACCTTTACATACCTACAAATAATTGTAAAGTCTGGTTTTATTGGTGCAAGTTGTTCAAGGGAGTATTTAGAACATGGATGCATAAAATGGGTACACCCATTTTTGTGGGAAAACTTTATTTGACAATAAAGAATGAGAAAACGTGTTTTTTGGGATTTAATCGAAAGTGTTGATAAAAAGGAAAAAACCTTTTATGCAAGATTTTTAGGTATTTATGAGACCTACAAATGAGACCACACGTAAAAAGATCCAACTAATTCGAAAAATTTTATGGCGGGAAAACGAGGCAAAATGCAGTTTTTGGTACTTGCGACGATAATTTCACTTCTAAATAACAACAAAATTGGAGTATATTGGAGAAGTAGTTTTTTCAGAATATCTAATTGTTTATCATAAAACACCTGTTTTCCTAGTTTATTGAGCAATATGCAGGGTTCGTTCAAAGGGCATTTAATAGCAAATTTCACGTATTTCCTTTGCCGATATGAATCACAAACCATTCCGAAAGATAAATGTTATTTTTATACAAAAAACGATGGGTTGCGTTTTTTCTTCTTAACGAATTTAGACTATTACTTATTTTCGTAGGTCATGACAACTGGCGAATATTGCGATCGCGAAAAGTATCGAAATTGATATATTGTTTTTTGGATAGCCTTTACATGTACATTACGGAAAACCATGTCGTAGAACTAATAAAAACCAGCTCAGATTGGACGACCTTTTGACACAAGGTATTAAGCAACATGTTAATAAGGAAAAAAACTTAGAAGTTTGAAAATGAGCCCAGTTGTGAGCGAAATATGAAGAGTTTCAAAATACCGCCAAACCGCCACCACGAGTTTGGAATTTTACTAAGATTTTAAAAACCTTAAAAATGGGTAAAAAGATTACCCAAAGATAACCGTGACCCAGACGTTGGCTATGATCTTCAAGGTCAAACAAAATTTCCAAAAAACCCTTATTTTTATACTAGAAATAGAAAAAACAGGATCTTTTACGTTCGAATATAACCTCAAATAACATTTGTTTGACAAGAGCTTGATTTTTAGGTCAAGGTCATGCTCAAAGGAACTTTTAATTTCCCGCTTTTTTCATTCACAGTATAAATAACATGAGATGTTTACTTCGGAACCTTCGCCTTGACCTTGAAGCTCATGGTCAAGGTCACCTTTGGGTGTCGGTGGGTGGTCAAGGATATATTCGGACGTAGACTTTCCTTCCCTTTTCAATTCAGATGTGAATAAGGAGGCCCAACTAACAATTATCACTCCTATTAGAGTTGCAAGAATGATTATACAGTATTCCGTACACAGAATTGTATACTGTAAGAACATTGGCAAAACCCACTTAGAACAGCTATACAAGCGGAATGGGCACGCCTAATAGGACACTCATTTAAGATGTTGTTTAAGGGCTGCAGGTAACAATTATACAACAAAAGTGTAAGCCTCTTGCAGCCGCTATAGGACATTTGCGTCAGTGCAAGATTCAGTTTTTGTCAACTGTACAACTATTCTGTTACGTGATTCTACTTTATTGCAACCAAACTATTTCTTATGTATTGTATAGACGAAGTAAAGAATATATAACTAACACAATACAGTCATCTTGTTTACTTACATATCGGCTATTGTGAATTTCATACACAGGTATATGATAAACTTCTACACTATGATTAGGGCTATTGAATTACTTGCGCAGCAAATTTTATTGTGATTATCGTGCAAAGTAGTTACGCAATTTCTACGGGCTTCGTATTTGATTCATATGTATTTTGATAATGATCAAAAGTATGTCTAGATTTTTAAGATGGAAAACTGAACTTATCTGCGTTAAATCTTCCACAAATCCCATATTTAGACACAATTACACTTTATATCTGTAATTTCGAACTGAAACATAATTATTTAATATCAAATAGAGGAATAAATGTTTGCCCAATATGGCGGGTGGTTGTGTACAATCATGGCATCGTCCATGTTGTCTTTAGGTTATTAGAATATTTTGGTGTTGCCTGCAGGTATTATACAACAATTTGACAAATGTCTGAAGTGAAATACCGAGACAGAGTCGAATGATTTACTCAGAATTTGTATCAGATCTATATCTTCTGTTTGAATAGCTGATAAAACCTTTTGAACCGATATGCATGCGTTGTTTGTCTTAAAACATTAGTTATGGCATTTTAACAAAAATATGACAGCAGAAAGTTAGGTTATGGTGAAGTGGTTTACCAACATAAATCAAATTCAAGCGGATAACCAAATGGAAATGGTATTTACCATTTTGGGTTGGTATTTACCAATCCGTTCAAGCGAATGTAGTTACTAGTTTGGTTATAAGATCCGTGACGTCACGAATCAGCTGTTATATGTCATAGTTATCACCGCAAAATTGTGGTATTTACCCAACTCAAGAGTAGTTTTATATTTCTGGTTATTATTTGAAATGTGACAAGTTAGAATTTTGCCGGGTATTGGATATTGTTATTGTACTTCAGCTTCATTTTTGGGAAAAATGATACAGGCTGACTTCCGTTTTACCCAGCGGCGGTTCCACTGTAGGAGCACATGAGCACGTGCACCCCCAAAATAAATATGTATAACATCCATTTAATAATTTCTCAAATAAAGTCTGAGCCTCCCTGATATTTAATCGTATAAAATCAAAGATCTAGTAGCTCTCCACTGGTGAGTCACCACTCTTACCGCTGCGCTGCCTGATTCGGGCGATTCCGACTTGTGATTCGGTCTGGCCCGGTCCGACTGCCGCCGACGGGTGACGGCGGATGACGACGAATAGCATAGTCGCGTATGCGATCATGTACGGGGGATTAGTGTGTTTCTCACCCTGCTGTTCTGGTTGCGGGGTATAGCGGGGTTATGGCAATTTTAGTTGGAGAAGGCGCACACCTCTGGAGTGCGCCATTGTCCGTTGCGCGTGCATTTTATGCAGTAATCGGAGGTGTGTTCGAATTTTTATGTTCGTAGAAGTTTTTTAATAAAATATTGAGTTAAAATGAATGGTTTCACTGTGGAATATTTGAAACATAACTTCAGTTCATTGAGTTTGGAGCAAAAAATTGAAATAAAAAATGCGGGAAGACCTACACCAGAAATTAACTTAACTCAGACCACAAAGGGTAAATCTAGAGACTTTATTAGAAAGTTTAAAATGGAAATATATGAAAAGAATAACTGGATTTGTGGATGCAGCACAACAAACCTTTTGTTTTGTTTTTCCTGTTTGTTGTTTGGTCACGGGGTTGCAGAGCCTGCCTGGACAAAAAATGGAATAGCCGACATGGGACATTTAGCACAAAAAATTAAGAAACATGAAAACACTCAAGTCCATATCAATGCGCAACTGGAAATGCAGCTTTTGGGAAAAGTAGATATACGGCAGCAGTTGGACAGTGCATATAGGCGCAGTATTCAACAGCAAAATGAACAAGTTAGAAAGAATAGGTATGTGCTTTCAAAAATTATTGATTGCATAAAATTTTGCAGAGCTTTTGAATTAGCCCTCCGCGGTCACGACGAAAAAGATGGTTCATCAAATCCTGGTATTTTTAGAGGTTTAATAAATTTCACTGCCGAATTAGATATAGCACTTAAAGATCACTCGACAGTATTCAAAGGGGTATCAAAAATCATTCAAAACGAATTGTTAGATTGCATGTTACAAGTGGCTCAGGAAAATATAAGAAAAGATATTTTGGAAGCTGAATTTGTTGTTGTTATGGCTGACGAAACAACGGATCTAGCTAATTGTTATCAAATGACTACAGTATTTAGGTACATTCTACCAGATGGAAGGCCAGTTGAACGTTTTTGGAATTTTGTTACCCCCCCTGACCACGATGCAGTTAGTCTCTCAGAATGTGTGAGAACTAATTTAATACAAGTGCTAGATAAACCAGAGAAACTTATAGCTCAAATTTATGACGGCGCTAGTGTAATGAGTGGACGTCGTGGAGGTGTTCAGGCTCTTATTCAACGTGATTATATTTATGCTTATTTCATTCATTGTTATGCCCACCAGCTAAATTTGATTTTATTGCAAGCTACAAGCCAAAATCAAGAAGTACGGGTATTTTTTTCAAATTTAAGCGATATTTCAACTTTTTTTTCTCATTCTCCACAACAAGTTGCAGTTTTGGATGACATTGTTGGTGCAACAGTTCCTAGGTCTTCTGTTACAAGATGGAATTTTAAAAGCAGATCTATAAATACAGTATATGAATATCGCGTATTGTTAATAGAATGCATGGAAAAAATAGAAGCTACTTCAAAACAAACTGTTACCATCAATCAAGCCACTGGTATTGGCCGTATGCTACAAGATTCTAAGTTTGTGTTCTGGCTAACTGTATTTCATCGAATATTTCCACATGCTGATATTTTATATAATCAATTACAAAAAAACAGTGACTGACCCAGTGCAAATTCAGACTGCCATAAAGTGTTTTGAAAACTGCATCCAAAAAGAGAGGGACTGCTTGGAAACAATTGAAACTGAAATTTCTGAAGATACCACTACTACTCAAACTAAAAAGCGTCGTGCAAATGAAGACCAGCATATTTGCAGAGCTGTTGCAGCCAAGGAAGTTTGTCATACCATAATTACACATGTAACAGATAGATTTTCTTTTACAAAACATTTAAATGCAGCTATTCTTCTTTCTTCAGATAAATTTCCACAATTTGAAAAGCATTTTCCATTGCAATATTTGGAAACTGTAGTAGAAGCATATTCGTTTTTAGATAAAGTTCGTCTCCAGACTGAATTGGAATTAATTTACCGGCGACCTGACTTCAGGAATATGACTGGTGCCATTAGTTTGTGACAGTTTTTTTTAGAAAATAATCTTCAGAGCATATTTTCTGCCACCTTTACACTTTTACAAATAATTGTTACCATACCAATGACTACGGCCGAAAGTGAAAGATGCTTTTCGACATTGAAGAGAATAAAAACATTTTTGCGTAAGTTCTATGAATGAAGAAAGACTTAAGACTGTCAGCGCGATCAATGCTATCTATCGAGAAAAAATGTAAAGCGGGTATTCCAAACTTTAACGAGTTAGTTATTGATAAATTTTCTGCAAATAAAATCAGGAGAATGGACTTTACGTTTAAACACTGTACTCATTAAAAAAATTGTATTTTTTATAAATGTATTTTCTTGTGTATAATAAAAAAAATAACAAAAAATGTGTCCTTGATGCTTGTTTTAGTACTCTTATTGCCTTCTACGTCACGCATTACATAAAAATTTTGGTGGTGGCAAAAAAAAAATATTTTATACCACTTGTGAACCCCCTGTATCATAGACCACGAGCCGCCGCTGGTTTTACCATAAAGTGGAGCACCTTATTAGTTATACTCATTACGGTTGTTGGGGACACTTTAAATGTAGTTCCTATGCTTAACAAAGTATCCTGTGTAGCCATATACCACAAGAATATTAAAATATGGCCATATAAACTCGCTAGATGATATCCACCTGTATACGGTTTTGCTAATTTCTTTTTTCATCATTTCTGCTGAATCAATAAATGTTTTCTTTGACATGCGGAAACATTTAGAGAACTGAAAGTTATCATAGCTACAAAGCCATGGTTCCATCATTAAAAAAAATCTGAAAAAACATTTCTCCCATGAATATTATGAAAGGTTTGTTATTTAAACTTTCCATATACAGTTGTAGACGAAGAAGCACCGATTATTAAGTGATAATAAAAATAATCAGAGATTATATACGCGCTTTTCTAAAATAAACAACTTGCAACAAAACCGCGGTTAAAACCAACGCGTTCAAGCGATTCGTGTAACTGACGTCATCAACCCGTGTGTCATCTTGAACCATATTATAACCGCGGCAAATAACACAGAAATTTTGGTTATTCGCTTGGATTTGATTATATTTAGCATATGTGACAGTTGTATAAGTGCTTCCGTTGGGAGCAATTTGTTGGCTAATGTAGTAAATTGCACAGCAAAGCAACAAGGCTCGGGTTTGTTTTATAAACGTTAGCATGGGTGCCACAACACAACCATTTTGACTAACTTGCAAATATGCCGTATAAAATAGTTGCATAAACGTTTATGCAACAGTTAAAAATTTGCCCTATAAGGTGTTGTATAACTATGCTACAAGAATATTTTAAACAGCTCATTTTAGAGCAAATATGTTGCAGAAAGCAAATTTGCATTCCACACAACATTAAGCCAGCATTTTGGTGTTAAGTTAAGGCAACAACAATAGAGAGCTTTTATGGCTGAACGGTTCTTTTACCAAAAGCTTATACCACTACTTTGCTAGTTGGGTTATAGCGCTACTTTGCTAGTTGGGTGGGGGTCCATTTGAAAATATTCACTCGTTCTTGAAAGCCGTGGCCAAGGTCATTGTCAAGATCACCATCATATTGCTCCCTCGAAACCCTACAAGTTTTTTTTGTGGAATGCGGAATTTTTGGAATATTTAGTGGGTGAGCGACATGTTTTGTCTTATTCTGGGACCGTTTGCCCTGTCAAAATCTTGTGGACTCACCTCGCCAGTAATGAGTCCCTTCTTCCCATCAATATCCGCTTGAACACTACTATAATCAATAGTCTCCTTCTTCTTTTTCTTCTTCTTCGACGCCCCTGCGGAGGTCTGCGCCGGTTTCTTCACTTTGCTAGGAGGCACTTCGATAACGTTATTGGGGTCCAGCCCCTTCTTCCTCGCCTCTTCAGCCCCTATTGCCGCCGACACGACCCGTTTCTTCTTCTTCGGCGATGCCTTCGCCTTATTGGGACTGTTCAGATTGTTGTTGATGGATTCCACTTTGCCCTTCCGTTTCCTACGAACCTTCCCGTCGCGCACTTTGCGCTTCAGAGGCACTTTCGAGTTAATGACAGGGTGGGAGATGACCCCTTCACCGTCAGGGGGGAGTCGCACGGCTTCTGTGGTGGATTTGTGTACGATCGTCAGGGATTTTACTTTGGGGCTTGGCTTCTTGCCGAGGTACTTCGTGCTGAAGAACTGCAAACATAAAAAATACACTTAAAGAAGATGCTGGATAATAATTGAATAGCCTGTATAACAGTTTTTAGCTGACGCTATGATAGAAAATATACAAAAAGCTGCAACTAGCATATTTCGCACAGTGAGAGTGTCCTTTACAAGCTGGTGGCTCAACAAGCAGTTTCAAATTTTAAAAACAAACCATTAGAAGTCCGTAAATGAAATTTCAATAGTCTCGTCTGTTTGGACCAATATGTAATGACTTTACACTTTGCATTTTACTGCTACTGGCCGAAAAACTTATTATTATTATTAGGATCCAAATGAAGGTTGATTTTTTGGTCAAAGCCGAAGTCGTAGCTGAATGTTTGGTTAATGAAGAATGAGGAATGTGATATAAAACTAGAGTGGTAGAATAATTAACGCTTGTGTTCTGGGCTCTGTTTCTTATAAGTTGTGATCTTGTTCTAATGTAACATTGCATCGATGATTGTGAACATCAATAAAGTTCTGATACATTCAGATTAGAACAGTGTGAAAAATTGAGGCAACATTTTTGTACCAGAGAGAAGTGTGTATAGGCAGTTATGTTAGAAAGAGATAGAAGCGACGGTAATCTGCCGCGTTGTCAATATGTTACACCAGTTCCTTGAATTAAGCTGCATATTGAAAATAATATTCATAATGCATAATTGCATCATTGCTTCGTTTGATAACACCGCATATTGTACATTCCAAGGCAAGGTTTACACCTCCATGATCATAGTTCAGCGATTTTGGTCAGTAACCATCTAGCGCTCGTAGGGGTGTGTCATGTCCCCCTATTCTTGACTTTGATAGAAAATGCCGCTCCCTCTCTTTTTCTACTCCCCCGGTTTTCTATCGATTCGAAAATACGGTATTCTTGAAAGGTCTCGATAGAAATGGGAAAGGAAATTAAGACACAAGGTTGCCAGGTTTGAGTAAACGTCTTAAAGTGTGAAAAATGGAGGCAACATTTTGATTAAAATACACTGAAAACCAATTTTGTCTGACTGCGTGAGTTCAACGTGTACCAGAGAGATGTGTGTATAGGCAGATATGTTAGAAAGAGATAGAAGCCTGCTGAATAGCGACGGCAATCTGCCGCGTTGTCAATATGTTACACCAGTTCCTTGAATTAAGATGCATATTGAAAATAATATGCATAATTGCATCATTGGTTCGTTTGACAACACCGTATCTTGTACATTCCAAGGCAAGGTTTACACGTCCATGATCATAGTTGAGCGATTTTGGTCAGTAACCATCTAGCGCTCGTAGGGGTGTGTCATGTCCCCCTATTCTTGACTTAAATAGAAAATGCCGCTCCCTCTCTTTTTCTACTCCCCCGGTTTTCTATCGATTCGAAAATACGGTATTCTTGAAAGGTCTCGATAGAAATGGGAAAGGAAATTAAAACACAAGGTTGCCAGGTTTGAGTAAACGTCTTAAACCAATCACAATGGAGATAATTTTGATAGTGAAAAACTAACCAAAGATTTTGGTCAACATTTCCTCCATATAATTTTATCTATGGAGCAGAAAACTTTAAAAAAGTACATTACAAATGAATAAAAGAACAAAATGATTGAATTTCTTCGAGAGCACCCCCAAATGCACCAGGGAAAATTCAATCATAGATTAAAGGATACTGTTTCAGAATGACCAAAACTTAATATCTACTCTTGCCCTTGTTTTGATCGAAAGAGCAGAAGCTCGTGGGGGTGGTTGTATGAATGTAGTCAATATCTCCAGCAACTCATACACCAAATCTTTGGTCAAACTAAACATCTGTACAAATTTTCGGCCCGAAATTATGAAACGATCTTAGTGCCCAAGAATATCTCTCCCAATCTCCTACTCCTCAACTGCCTCCTCGACATCCTCGTTAATAATATCGTTCCAATACATCAATTGATTGAAATTAACCATTTTTTACAATATGTTTAGGAGAAACGACAATAACAATGCCTAACACGTCAATTTTTAGGTTATATATTTTCTACTAATTTTTCCAGTTTCTCTTGGTCAAGAATACTACATTTCTTGGCCACACCCACTTTTTGCCACTTTCTCTCACAATTTCTACTCCCTCAAACTCAAGAATAGAGGTCCCGATTTGGAATGGCTTTCACCTGCGTACACGCAGGCAGCGATATTTTGTATTGCGTAACGTTATTTGTTACATTTTCCGATCGCAGTGCTGCCGCACAATATTAAATGAAATGTTAGAACAGACCTCCTTCTTGGGTTTGACAGTTACGTAACCTATTGTAGAAGCTTGTGAGAACATTTTCTGGTGTAACATATTGACAACGCGGCAGATTGCAAGACCTTCTGCGTCATCGTCGCTAAGCAATGTGGTGATGACCTTCGCTGACCATCCGGCTTCTATCTCTTTCTGATATACCCACTTATTTGATCTTCCTCTACCTAGTATACGAGTACGTCACAAAGGGGCACTTTTTTTTCGATTCACGTAAAGTTATAATAATATAAAATAATGAAATCCTCATCGACTTTGTATAATATATTTACACCTGCCTATTTACAAAGCTACTTACAGAACGTCTGATTCCATGGAACATTTTCTAAATTATTTATTATTTTTTTATTAAATATATAATAGTCAGCGGATAATGTCTGATGCAAGTGTCTCTATCATATAAAAAAGGTTATGATTAAATATTGCATTGCAATATAGTCAATTTTTAAAATAAAGTGACCGTTTGAATCATTCCATTTTTTGACATATAATTATTTAAATTAAATGTCGATTTCAACCATAATTAAGAATTTTTTACGAAAACTAATAGGGCTACAGGTTTTCCCCCTCTTACTATTTTATATGACCATTTGAACAAATTTTTCTCACAAAAATTGCAGAGCATATTATGAAGTTTTATGTGGAATATCTAAAACTATTTTTTCAATTTAACCCCCCGTATATGTTTAATGATCGTTGTTTTTTTTTCTGATTCCAATTATATACGGTTCATCACGCTTGTTTTTATTAGCTTTGTTAAAAACTTAAATTTTGTGCGTTCAACCAGTTCAAACTGGTTTCCTTCTAGCCGCCTGTGTAATCCCGTGTAGGGTCAAATACATGCGATTAAATGTCACATGTAATTTGAGTTGTTTTTGACTAAAATAATGAATATCGGCATAATAAACCATATATTATAATAAAAAAGCGACTAACATTTTAACTAAAAATTTACAGGATATTGCATTTAAAAAATCAACCAAAATAGATATTACCAGAAAAACTTTATGTTATACTCTACCACTTTTGTATATAACTTTTTTCTAAAAGGTTATGCAAACAAGTTAAGCGAGGGATCAATTCAGAGTCTGTCACCCCCACATAAAAATAAATTAAAAAATTGTGGCATACCAGCACCGTATAGTAAAATGCTTTTCTATATTCGAATGTTTCTCCTGCAGGATTAAATGCCTGAAAAGCTATGTACTGGTACAAGCTGATCGCTGAAAGATACTCTGGAGTACCTAGTCGGTTTCAACAGGCAAGAATAATAGACTAATAACTTTCCTTTGCAAAGAAATAAAGTGTTTTAATTATTCCTAAATTCGGTGTCCATCGGTACGCGATATTTTTTAAAAATTTGAGTAAATGCTTCCGCCAAACTTCTGACCTTTTTTGGCCCAAGGCAGAATATGTAGCCAAAAGTGGCCAAAACAGAAACCGAAGGTTAGGTTGGACTCCAATTATTATTCGTTTGACATGAAATGTTAACGTTTTTCAAGGACCATTCCCAAATAGGTTTGTCGATCTGGAGCGACAAAATAACAAAAATGCTGGTTGTAGTCAGATTAACGATGCGAAACTTCCATGTTTTCAGAATGCTAAATATCCTCAATACGACAATAATTATTTGTATGTCATTTCACGACAATAAATGTAAACTGTCCCCCATCACACTTGTTTCTCGAGCAGAAAAAAGCACTCTAAATAAGTGGTTACTATTTTTATCGTGTATCAAACATCTGGCAGCTAAAAATTATCAGCTACATATTCAATTTTAGTCCTACACGCGAGAAACATTCTATGTGAACGTTCAAATAACTTGTATTATTATTTGAGGCACAGTGCATGACATCTAGCAAATACGGATAACTTTTGTAACTCACTGGTAGTCACATACTATAAAGACGATTTTTATCTATTAAAAAAGAAATAAGTTAGTAATCGTTCACGAGGAAAAATATAAAATTCTGATAGATGTTGACTTACCAGTACTCCGACAGACATCACTAATATCGCGGCAACCGCATACCAATAGTCCACAATCCACCTCTTGAAACTAGCCAAGCTTTCTTCTGAAAGTAGCAGCTTTGTGAGCGTCGCTAGTGGTCCCGAAGGATCTACTTCTCTGCACATCTGATATACATCACAGTAACCTGGACATAACGCAACAAATAAAAATATAATTATGTCTTATTAGCTCAGATTATAATGCGTCATTCAGTGAGTTTAGAACAATAAACATTAATCGTCTCAAGAAGATTTTGCCAAAAATTAAATCTAATCAAAATAAGAGTGAGATTTTGTCTAAAAGTATGCCTAATGAATGTTTTGATATTAATGGAGCAGGAATATTATAATAGTTCTGTTTAAAATATGGCGAATTTTCAACAAAACTGAAGTGTTCTACCATAACTCCTGTTGCTAAAGTTAAGGATTCTGAGTTGTACACCATCATGCGGCCAATAAATGTTCTGCCAGAGGTTGAAAAAGATTTTGAAGAAATTATTTAAGAACAGATCATCGAATTTATTGAGGGAAGTAACATTTTAACTAAATGTCAAGCTGGATTCAGGAAAAAACACTCAACTGAAACGGCAACACAAATGGTTTTAGAGGACTGGAGAAGATTTATGGCCAATAGAAAACATTCAGTAACAGTGTTTTTGGACTTCAAACTAAAATTGAATACTTCTAAAATAAAATACTATCACAGTTAGGATAAATGGAGAGATAATTCGAAATGTTGAAACAATTAAATATTAAGGTATATATATTGATAGTAAACTAAAGTTTGAGGATTACTATGAATACATTATTTAAAAAATTGCTAAAAACACAAATTGCTTTTATAGGGCTTCTTATAGTCTAGGTACATATTCCAAGAAAATAGTTTATAATACAATTATTCTAGCGCATTTACTATATTGTTCAAATATCTTGTTCACTGCCAATGAAGCTATATTCTCAAAATCACAAGTCCTGCAAAATAAAGCTATGAGAATAATATTGAATAAAAATAAGTACAGTAAAATAAAATCTATGTTACAAGAATTGCGGTGGTTGAATACAAAAAATTTCATATCATATTTGGTTCTTACTTTTATATTTAAAATAAATCTTTTGTCACAACATTTAGAACACTACATAGAATTGAATAATCATTACCACAATTATTATACAGGGTGGTCCATAAGTCCTTTGAAATTTCAAATTTGAATAAAATTTAACGGGTGAGCGTGAGCGGCACGGGCGAGGTGGGGGCAGTATTTTCAATGTCTGGGAATTCAGTCGCCATGGAGTGTTTCACTGGAGCGGATCGTGCTTTTTGTGTGCGCGCGTTTTATCAAAATAATGATTCGGCAACCATTGCGCGGCGTAAATATCGAGAATACCACAATTTACACAATTTTACAAAGTGTCCAACAGCTCAAACGATTAAGAACTGGGTTGCTAAGTTCGAAGAGACTGGTTCGACGTTAGATAAACAGCGGTGGGGTCGACCAAGGACAACTCGTATTGAAGAAAACATCAACATTGTGGCACAGTCTGTTCGTCAAAATCCTACCCAGTCTACTCGTAAGCGTTCCAGTGCACTCAACGTACCCAGAACATCTTTACAGCGGATTTTAAGGAAAGATTTACATCTGCACGCTTACAAAATTCAGTTAGTGCAGGAATTAAAAGATAATGACGCTATTCAGAGACTAAACTTTGCGAATGAAATGTTGAATCGATTTTCTTCGCTCAATAATGTGTTGTTCTCGGACGAGGCTCACTTCCATTTAAACGGGCATGTAAATAAACAAAATTGCCGTTATTGGAGCCCCGAAAATCCAAGGCGTAAGCATCAGAAGCCCTTACACAGCCCTAAAGTTACAGTTTGGGCTGCTATGTCAGCGCATGGCATCGTAGGCCCTTATTTTTTTGAGGACGACAGAGGTCGCGCATTAACTGTTACTTTGGAGCGGTATGTAGCAATGATAGAAGAGTTTTTGACACCAGCGTTGCAGAATTTTCCAGGCTATAATACGCAGACCTGGTTTCAACAGGACGGAGCAACTGCTCACACCTCCAACACTTCTATGCCCGTCGTCTGTCAACTTTTTCCCAGCAAAGTAATTTCTCGAAGAGGAGACATTTCCTGGCCACCACGTAGTCCAGATTTGACCCCAATGGACTTCTTTTTATGGGGCTACCTCAAGAGTAAAGTGTACGACACCACTCCGCGATCAGTTGATGTCCTGAAAGAAAATATCCGAAGAGAAATGGCAAGCATTACAGTGTTGACTTGCCGCGCAGCCATCGACAATTTTAGACGTCGTTTATATGAGTGCCGTGATCGTAATGGATTGCATTTAGACGATGTGATTTTTAAAACATAATTCCCATTCAATAAAGATGATAACAAAATATAATAATTCTTCATAATGTAACTAGTTTGGTTTTATTCCTTTTTTCCAGCTCAAAGGACTTATGGGCCAGCCTGTACAAGCGGAAATATAGATTTTCATTTACAAAATTGCAATAGTAATATCACTAGCAAATCAATATTTCACAAAGGATTACTTGAATTTGATAAACTAAATAATGATATAGAGTCTACTTGTAATTCAAAGATGTTAAAAATAAAATTAAGGGAATATTTCATGGACAGTGAAAATTCTTAGAGATACAAATTTTGTTTTTTTTCTAAATATCTGTGTTATATAATTGTTTAGTTTTTTTAGAAGAATATAATTGTAGAAATCGTGCTAAATAAATCTTAAACAAAGTACCTCGCAGCACTTACAAACGTCAGATCAAGAAGACTAGAAATGGGAGGCTAAACTCATAGAGTGGGGGTGAAGCCAAAAATGTCGAAGTAAGTTCGACAGTTTTAACGAGTTGCAACCAGAAATACTGGATCAACCACGGAGTAATAAACCTACAAAGCATGGCAAAACGTGAGTGAAATGTACATAAAGATTGGGGCAGGTTATATGTTGATTTTTTTGACACTTTTCAATGCACAGACACTCTACGCCAAGTTCGATGCCAACTACATTTTCTAAAGCTACACCATTTTTGGTGACAGGTTTGGCTCATACGAATGCGTGTATTCCTTACGCAGTTTGATATCGTATCTCCAGCCTTCGTGCGTCTGATTAATGTACCGCCATCGTAACCGGGTCCTTGAATAGCAAAATGATACTATTGCAACATTAGGCAATCAGAGTTACACCATCGTGTAGCACAGCTTGACAAGCTTCGAGAGCGATTGCGTTCACGTGTGTGAGAGCTTGTGGCGCTTTCTAAAAGGAATCGAGTCCTTGTTTGAAAATGCTGGAATGCATCGGGAACCGTCGAATCACGACATAAATATCCGACCAGATGGTGGAAGCAGTCAGATACACAGTCGAGCCAGTAGACAGGGAATGCGGAATTAAGATGTAATAATAGTCCAGTCGGCATGATTTTAAATTGTCATACAGTGTTATAAATTGGTGTAAAAGTAGTAAATTAGAATTTGGACAGTGAAAACGGTGTTTTCGTTACATTGAGTTGAACTTGGTTGCTCTAACAAAAGAAAGTCACTGTAGATCAAATTGAAATTGAACTATTTCCAGTTGTCTGGGATACTCAGAAATTTCTTGCTGATGTTTGCAATTGCATGTACCGCCTATAATATGAGTTCACAATTTCGAAATCAACAAATGTCTCCTGTAACTGAATATCAAACCTTTTGAATAGAGCAATGTGACGCGAAAAAAAATGTCTATTTAAAGTTACATCCGCCTAATCTCTCTCTATATTGATACATAGTTTGCTTACCTATATAATTATTACAAGGAGTTCCTGGTTTGGAGTACATGTCAGGAATGTCGTACGGTTTGTCGTTCCAATCAAACGACGACCGACACGGCTGATTATCACCAGGAAGTTTACAGCATAGTTCGCAGGCTTTTGTCTTCGGATCGTCCTTTTCTGGGATGCACTGGCAGGATTCTAATCCATACGCGAGACATATTGATCCCGTACATTCCTGGAAGTCAAGTCAGTAGATTAGCCATCACTTTACAGTTTTTCAAAACTATAGTTTCTGGTAGCTAGATTGCCTTATACTGTTGGATCCTTTTATACAGACCACGGTCATCTCTTGTACAAGCAGTTTCTCTAATAGTGAAGATGATGAATGATGAAGATTGCTATCTTTTGAGTCATATATCTACATATTTAACACTGCTTGTTACATTATTTATAAATGATCTGTGCGATACTTTCAATAGTAACAAACTTCTTTATGCTGACGATTTGAAAACTAGTATATATTACAAGTATGGAGGATTGGCATACCTTACAGATAGAATTGGATAATATTCACACATAATTTTATCTAGTATTAATTTCTTCATGCCTTGTTTGAGAACCAGAAATACCAAAACCTTCCATTGTGAAAGAGCTAGAACTAATTTGCTTCTAAAGTCGCTAGAAGTAACTATGTGTGAACATTTTAAATCAATTTCTCCTGTTTGTTTTACAAATTTTGACAGTATCTCAAAAATACTGAATTGTGGTCGTTTGTACTTGGACCGAGAAATCACATAAATAGCTCATCCTTTTCTTAATATGTCTCGCAATTGAATTTTATTCTATGTTTATTGTAAATGTCTGCTTTATATTTTTTTCTAGAGGTGAATCGTAATACCAAATATCGTTATATTACTTTTTTTTTCTGTAATCTCTTGTACTTTCATACTTTTTGCAAGTTCAATTATTGTTTTATTTTACATACATTAATTTTTTTTTGTTCATTTCATTTTGATTTAATGTATGCATGATGTATAATTAAAGATTATTTTGATACCACCATGTTTTTAACGAATTGCGACTATGAAAGGGACAATGGTGGTGTGGTAATGAGCTCGTGTGCCCGTCTCCTTAGTGATGGTGATTTACATTTAGCAACATCATTTTACTTACCCCCATGAAACATACAAGCTCCTTGTTACATATAGTTTTGTTGGGCTTGTTTATAGACGGTGGACATTGAGGATCTCTTCCATTACAGAAACTCTCATCTCTACATCCATTATCTTCTCTGCATTTATCTCCAAACTTAACTTGGCAGTCATTGGTACAACACGGTCCCTGTGAAAGATTGTATACAATGAGTTACAAAATCCGTATACTTCATGTCCAATATTGATGGTCTTTACAAACTGAAGTACTAAAGAGATTTTCGACTTATCTTTAGCCAAAAAGTGAGATTTGGATTTAGAATGGTTCCTCAGATCAGTTCAGATTCTGTATTGAACGTTTCTCCATATCTAAGAAAGTGGCTCTAGTATTATTCTTAATAAATCTATAGCTACCTGTAGCTATAAACTTAAAAAAAAAATTAAATTTTATTCAGGAACGATGAAGTAATAACAATCATAATCAATTATTTAAAATATCGGAGCATTTACTTATAGATCAGATTGTGGTCAGTGCAGTTTTTTGCTCAAATTTTTGTGTTCTGGTTGACTTTAGGTGCAAACCATCAAACTTTTTTACGATGGCATTATATCTTTTGTGATTACTAAGTCCTAGGGCGGCCACAGGCTTAAGCTGCACTTCTGAAAACGCTTGCCTTTATCACAAATGGAGAGAGATTTATTGAAACACCTACATGTCTAGGGGGGTTACAGTGGTGAACATTATAGCCGAAAAAATTATGAGCAAAAATGAGAATTCAAAAAAATCATGAATAAAAATGAATCCGCGGACAACCTGCTTAACCCACTGCACAACTTTTTTCTGGATACGCTATGCGCCTCAGGATATAATGGCACACTTCTCCACTAAGGTACGTAATGTACTATTATTTTCCAGTGTTAAGCAAGCATATTGAAAAGGCAATGCGTTAAGCGTTTAATTTATTTGCCCACAAACGATTACTTATAAAATCAGATATACTCGTACATGTTTATATTAGACTTGACTAACCTGTGAGGGGCTGCATATGCTTCTAGGCGTCAGATGACATGGCGGTTCATCCAAGCTTGCATACCTCCTCATAGGGAAACAGCATTCATCATCACAGTCTTCTTCCCATCCACAATCACATTCTTCACCCTCCTCTACTACTCCGTTGCCACAGATAGCAACCTTTGGTTCTGCAATGTATATTTTTATTAAGCGAAACAATAAAATGAAGTGACAATATTGTGGCAGTTTTGGAGAGTATATATGATCGATTTCTAATATGTTCACGAAATGGTTAATTTTTTGAGCAGATATGCAACTTATCCAGAAATATCGTTGAAAACGGAGTCTGAGAGACATTTATCATTTTCTTTTTGCTTGCCACGTCCCAAATTTTCCATCCAAATCATACCGGGTGTTCTTAAAATTGGAAAAAAGCAAATTTATTAACACACACCATAATGCCTTAAAATAATTGACCCACTAGATTCCGAAGAATCTGGAATGCGGCCCTGCATAAAGCAAGTGAAAAAATACGACTGCACCAGTGACGAATCCAGGCGTGTGAAGCGAGATGTTTGTTTTTTAAATTTAATTTAATGATATGTTAGTATACGGTGAGTGTTTTCAAGATGTTGCTGATGTTTTGCGAAGGCATTCAGATCGTTTTGATGGACGAGCTGGGTCGGTCAATTTATTTCGTACAAAGGCCGCGGTAACGTCAAGGTGGGCACGCTGGAAAAAAGTTAACAAACCCTGAATCGAAAGACAATAATATCAAAAAATATTGACTGGCGTTTTTTGTCTCTTTTATTTTTTCACCGCTGTTTTACCGTACATGAGCTCTGTTATTTCTATCGCAGTTGTTTATGAAAAGTCTCAACTTTCAGAATACTGTGTTTATAGGCCAAGGATGAAATGTTTTTTTGGGTTATTCCGTCCTCACTGACTATGATTTTCATTGTGCTCATCATCAAGTTTTCGACGCTTTTAGATTCGTTTACATTTTTTGCCGATAGTCATAAAAGGCTATAAAACCCAGCACCGGAGGCATGAGGACAGGACAGGTTGAGATGAGAGATGACCGAATCAAGTTTGTTGAAGTAACTTTTTTTTTGTTATAGGTTTCAACTCTCTGAAATGTCCACAGGGAACAACTCTTGCCTCTTTCCATCAATTCTCGAAGTACCATCTCTGTTGTGCGTATTTCATTACGTTTATAATGATCATACACTATGTTCCTTATTTTGGCAGTTGTTGCCGCACTTGAAGGTATACATGTCATTTTGTCAATTCTTCTTTTTCTTGGTTTGGCACTGTTACGAATAATTTTACGAATTGTACGATATGGCAAGTTAGTCAGTTCAACTGTTTCTTTAAGGACACTACTATTGCCTTTATCACCCACTTCACGTAACATTCCATTATAAGCATTAATGCCAATCTGTTGAACATCAACAGACAGACACATTCTTTTAGAAAAACAACAGTATTCCTGACTATCATTGCTGCCCTTGTTACCACTATCATGCGCACTGACAGTGTCACTGTCCGGAAAGTATTTGCTGCAAGATGGGTTTCCATCATTCATAGCGCCGCCTTTGTACATATAATTTTCGATGTCCGTGGGCCGCTGACATGCCTGAGCAGATCGTTCCCAGGGGCGTAAAAAAATCGTATCGCACATAAGTCTAAGTACCGCTCTGTTGCATCGCGCTGATACAGCTTGCGGGGCTCGGGAGGGGGTTGAGGGTTCAGGTCTTCATAGCGCAGTCACATTATGTGAACTTATTGCTATGACAGTATCGAAACAATGCGATTTTTTAGGCTACATTCAAACCAATTGTATCGAACTATTAGGGCTTTTTAGGTTATTGCACGTTGCTCAAATGTATAATTTATACAGATGAACCAGATTCCTATTACTTATACCGTATCATATAATGATCGTACTATATGGCGGGTCGGTAACACAAGAAAGCAGAACAAATGTAAACGAATCTTGAAGCGTTGTCGTCTACTATACCTATTCTCGTAGAAGGTGAACTTTTACCACGAGTTAAAATTTTTCGCTTTGCATGATTTTTTTGTCGGGTCCAGTGCTTTACTGTATAACTGAATATTATAAATGTTGCTAATTTCTCTCCCAAGCGAGGGGAATTCATTTTTTTCTACCCAAAAGTTGAACAAAATGAGGTTACACACTGTCTTCTAGCCTACTTTAGAGCTCTTGTGATGAGAAATTCTGTCTGCGAAAGCTTTGAAAAGCTTGAAACCGGAGATACTACAGACCAAAATATGTGAATTGAGCTAAACATACCTTAATCCAAAATTTGATAGTTTGCGAGATACAGGGTGTCAAAGTTACAATTTTATTTTCTATGTTTCCTTATTGCTCGATTTCAGATTTTGGCATAAAACTCGTTGTAGGAAGGTTTTCTAGTATGAGACCAGGAGGTCAACAACGTCTGACCGAAAAATCTTATTTTCTCGTATTTCCACAATAAAAAAGGTTTACTTGAACTCTACTAGAAAATCTCCCTATACCGAGCTTTATGCCAAACTCTGAAATACTTCTCAAGCAATAAGGAAAAATAGAAAATAAAATTGTGACTTTGACACCCTGAATCTCGCAAACAATCAACTTTTTGACCAAGGTATGTTAAGGTCAATTTACATATTTTGGTCTGTAGTATCTCCAGTTTCGAGATTTCTCAACCTTTCGCAGACACCCTGTATACACATTGCAAACAATACTTCCAAGACATAGCCGAGATATGGCTGATACAGCCGAGGATGACTGGGCTATTGTTGCCAAATATTGCTACAAAAATATAGCCCTTTTTTATGCTGCATTAGATTAGACGTTCAGTTTTTTCATTTAAGATTAGTATTAGCATGATTAAGTTCAAGTTGAAGGTCACACGTCAATTATAAAATAAGTCAAAGACACATTCCAGTGGGAAAGTTCATATTTCCAATTTGAATTACGCGGCAACCTTATACGCGAGGAAGTGGGGAGAGGTCTTGATCGACGCGTTCGGCGTGTGGGTTAAATAGTCACAACGGAACGTTGGACCGGAGCGCAACGTGTTTTAGCTATCGAGGCTTACTTTAAGAGTGATTATTCATATGCAGCTGCCCATCGGAAATCTTACGATACAACATCCGCCGATCAAGAGATGCCCCAAGTAAGAACCTATTGACAAAGTAGATTAAGAGGTTCCGTGAAACAGGCTCTACTCTTAGTCAACCGAATCCTGGCCCCACACCTGCTGTATCAACCGAAGAAAATGTACGTGGTACGGTCATTGCAAATCCTCGGCGTTCTGTACAGAAGCATTCCGCTGCTTTGGAAATCCCTAGTCAACACTGCATGGCATAATGAAGGAAAAAATGGGTTTTCATCCTTATGAAATTCAATCACTCCATGCTTTGAAGGAAAGTGATTACGTATTACGAAAATCTTGTGCTGAACGGATGTGGAATCTTTTTCCTATGCAGCGCAGACTCGAGAACGTTGTTTTCAGTAACGTAGTCCATTTTTACTTAGACCGTTATGTGAAGAACCAAATTGCAAATATTGAGCACCAACGAACGCAAAAGAGAAACATCAATAACAGCTATACTACAACTATTTAAAACTGTAATGACTCATACGCGTGATCAACACGTGATCAGAGCTCGATCCCGGCTTCCTTCCAGTACAGCCGTATAGCGTACGACATATGTCGTTTCTGTGGCTTTGCGGTGGTCAACAGCACAGACAGAGATGGAAATAATGGCTGATTGTTCTCCGCCGGTAGAACCAATGAAATCAAAGACGCGCCTCGACCGGCAGACTCATAGGCGTCGGCAACGCATTGGAACGTGTTTCGTTGAGCGATCGCATATTGTGTGTTTTTATAAGAATTGTTGTGTGATTGTTATTGTTGTGGTTTCTGTGGTTACTGTTTTGGTTATACTTAACCATGGAGAGTATAAATGGCACGAGTGGAAGTACTGAAAGCCAGGGAACAAGTAGACGGCTTCGTAAAGCACTGAAGAGGGACGCGAAAGAAATCGTGCTCAACGTGTTCAATTATCTGAACAGAACTATGTCGCAGGGAGATGCACTCGCGCGTTGTGAAAGTATGACAGGCGTTCCAGAGTGGACCATTCGCAGGGTGGTGCATGAAAAGAAGAAAACTGGAGCTACTACTGATCCAAAGTTTAATTTGAAGGGACGAAAGGGCGTTAAATTGGATGACGATAGCAAAATGGCGTTAAGGCGAACCGTACATTCATTCTTCTTTAGGAATGAGATACCAACCCTCAAGGCTGTACATGCAGCGATCAAGGAAAATGAAATTATACCCCAAATGAGCGTCGAGGTAATGAGGAAATCCCTGCACGAAATTAATTTTCGTTACGAAACGCGTAATCGGAAGTCAGTATTGATAGAGAGACCTGAAATAGTCGCCTGGCGTCGAAATTACCTACGCGAAATGATTGAATATAGGCGACAAAGCAGAAAAATCTATTATTTGGACGAGACATGGGTAAATGCAGGTCACACAGTTAAAAAAACCTGGATAGACAAAAACGTAGTGAGTAACCGACAAGCAAGCATTGAAGGTTTGTCAACAGGTCTTCGTGGACCGTCAGGGAAAGGTCAAAGATTGATCGTAACTCATATTGGTAGCGATAGTGGCTTTTTAGAAGAGTGTCACTTGATTTTCGTCTCTAAGAAAGGAGGTGATTACCATGATGAAATGAATGCCAGCTGCTTCGAGAGCTGGTTTCAAGGGATGCTTCAGCGAGTTGATCCCAACTCTGTGATCGTCATGGATAATGCTTCCTACCATAGTCGTCGAGCCGAACGTGTACCAACTATGGGATCTCGAAAAAGTGACATGCAGCAATAGTTGCGCGAAAAAGGAATCCCGTTTGACGAGTCATGTGTGAAAGCGGAATTGTATGAAAAAATTAAACAGCACAAACCTGCGAACATTACTTACGTGACTGATGAGATGGCCCGTCAATGTGGTGTCACTGTGCTGCGGTTACCGCCCTACCACTGTGAACTGAACTCAATAGAGCTCATCTGGGCTCAAGTGAAGGGTTATATTGAGCGCCATAACACAACCTTCAAATTACCAGACGTTAAGGTTTTACTTGAGACTTCCATACAGCTAGTAACGCCCGAAGC